TTCTCCATGTCACGCCCCACCACGAACTATCCCTGTCGCCTCGTTCAAAGTATTTCCATTTTACAGATAAATAAACTGAGCTTCAAAAGGCGTGAGTACAGCTGCAGGTCACATATGGTGAGGACAGAACTAGGATTCGGACTCTGGTGTGATCGTGGAACTCGACCCTCTCAACTCTATCCCACCACCTCCTCCATTTCCTCCGGGACCATTTCAGAGTCCCTCACTTCAGAGCCATACAGACTGGAACGGAATAGACATACGATGAGACTTGCCTCAAATCTGTGAAAAAAAACTGTCCTCCTGAGTTTTTCTCTTCTCTGTCTGAGGTTCTAAGTCCTTTGGTCTACCCTTAGATCACAGGGCCTGTCTCCCTGCCCTTACAGTCGTATCCTCTAAGTCAGTCTCATCATGTCCACGCGCTTCTTCAGAGAAGGCTGCCCAGAACTGACACTAAGAACTAACCTTTCTGGAGTGCTTACGCGCCAACGGCTCCGATCTCGGCACTGCAATCACGTGACTTCAGTGCAAGTTTGACCACCCCATCAGACAGATCACCATTATTACTCCCCATTCTGGAAATGAGGAAAGAAGCCACAGAAAGTAAGTTTCGTGCTCGAGGCCACTGAGCTAGGAAATGAAGACTGTTATTAAAATGCAGGCAGCCTGTCTCCAGAGCCCTGCGTTCTCAACCTCCACCCTCTGTCCTGCCTCTCCCCGTGCCTACTCCAAGTCGGAAGAGACCACCTCCGCTGTTTCAAACATCATACTCCTAGTAACGCAACCTAAGATCACACAGCAATTACACCACGTACGGGCATCAATGCTCAATGCGTGTGCACCCGTCCCTCTCTTCTTCCTGACCAAGACAGTCCCCTAAAGCCACAGACCTGGAGAAGAAGTATGCGGCAAGGGTGGCAGGTAAGGGGTGGACAGGCAGAAAGGAGGCTAAGAATTAGAGAGGTCCCGACACGAAAGCAGTTGAGGGACCCAAGGGTAAATTAAGACAGCAAGCAGGTGGACGGGGACGGGCAGCATCAGGCCGGCTGCAGGAAGATGGCGGGCTGGCTTAGGAGAAGTCTCACAAATACCGTTTGCATCGCGTTATTCCTACGAGTTCTCAGAGGCAGGCCGGACACTGTCCTCAGCACCATCTGGAAATGCGCCCGCACACGTGACCCCTTTAGATGTGAGAGGGATGGAAGAACAGTTGGGTCTCTTCAAAGATACGGTAGATCTGCTCGTGTGCCTTCTCTCTGGCTTCGTCTACAAGACCCAGATACCTTAACTACCCCCCCCACCCTCCCTCGCCAGCCCCGCCCCCTTTCCACTCACACAACATCCTTGAGGCTCCTCAGCCTCAAGGCTGTGAATGTGTCCTTTCCGGCTTCAGCCCGCGGGGATCACTCGCTTTGGAACTCATGACAATTTCTGCCTCTGCCACCACTGGGCCGTGACACCTCCTGATGATTTTCTTCTGTGAATTCCTGTCAGCTAATTTCATTCCCAGAAAAATGATACAGGGGGCGCCTGGGTGGCTCAGTGGGTTAAGCCTCTGCCTTCGGCTCAGGTCATGATCCCAGGGTTCTGGGATCGAGCCCCGCATTGGGCTCTCTGCTCAGCGGGGAGCCTGCTTCCCCTTCTCTCTCTCTGCCTGCCTCTCTGCCTACTTGTGATCTCTGTATGTCAAATAAGTAAAATAAAATCTTTAAATTAAAAAGAAAGAAAGAAGGAAAGAAAAATGATACAATATGCTACTTCCTATAATTCACAGTGCTTTGAGGTTTTTAAACATACTATTTGCTGTTTTCTCAGTGAGTGTAAAGCCTCAAGAGAAAACAAAGAACTCTAGAAAATTCAGCACTTTGTTTTCATCCTTCTGCACTGATGCCTGAGATATGAAAAATACAAAAACATAAGATGTGAAATGTTGGGAGTGCCCAATGCAGTGGAATCTCTAGAACAAAACAGGCCAGGCCCTGCCCAGTGTTGAGACAATCAGGATACTGATTTACTGAACATAAGGAAGGAAGTGATCCAGCTTGGGCAACCATAAAAATCCTTGGAGGTTAAGCAAAGTGAAAGGCAGATTTCAGAGACAGGGTCTCACACCTTTGGAGAACTGTTCTGTAGATTTTACAAAGATCTTCACTAACCACATAGCCGAATTCAACGGAGGGAGATAGCTCAGCATGCAAACCATCTCTATTCTCCTGAGTTACAGACAGTTTAAAGCTATCATTTCGTTAAGCACTGAATTCTACCACATAATGTGCAAGTCAGCTACAGTGCTATTGTACACAGAAATCTTTTATTTGCATGAGAAAGGCATCAATCACCTCATGCTACAATACGTAATTAAGAAGTAAATGTACTATTTCCCTTAGGCTCACAAGATAAATGTTGCATTACTGCAAGAACAGAAGTTGTGATTTTAATTTTAACTAGCCACAGTTCAAAGATAAATAGTATTGACCCTTGAACAACATGGGAGTTAGGGTCACGGACAATGCCCACCCCACCAGCCTAAAATCCAAGTGTAACTTCTGACTCGCCCAAAACTTCACGACTAATAGCCTGTTAATGAGAAGTCTTACTGAAAATGTAAACAGTCAATTAACATGTATCTTACATGTTATATGCATTATACATTGTACTTACAATAAAGTGAGCTACAGAAAAAAAAATGTTAAGAAAATCATAAGGAGGGGCGCCTGGGTGGCTCAGTGGGTTAAAGCCTCTGCCTTCGGCTCGGGTCGATCCCAGGGTCCTGGGATAGAGCCCCGCATTGGGCTCTCTGCTTGGTGGGGAGCCTGCTTCCCCCCTCTCGCTCTGCCTGCCTCTCTGCCTACTTGTGATCTCTGTCAAATAAATAAATCTTAAAAAAAAAAATTATAAGGAAAATACATTTATAATACTATACTGTATTTACTGCAAAACAAAAAACAAAAAAAAAACCCACACGTAAGTGGACTCACACAGTTCAAGCTGGTGTTGTTCAAAGGTCAACTGTATATCCGTGGAAGGCTACCACTACTTACCTATCTGTGCCCCTTCTGTGGTTAACAACCCAGATATTATATTGCAAGTAATCTAGAATTCATACTTGGTGGTAAAAAAAAAAAAAAATACAGCTCGATTTATAAAAAGGCACTAGAACCATTTTGGAATGAATAGGATTCACACAGACAGAACCCAACAGGGAGATTCACAGGCTACTGGTTAGAAAGGAGCCCGGCCAAGTCTGGGATGACATTTCTTCATCTCACGGGCAGGGTGCCTCCGATGCACCAAGAATGGTAAAGCCAGAGGTGCGACTGGGGGTCGGGAGGTGGAACAGGGAGGAAGGGGGCTGTAAAGGTTTAAGCGAGGAGCGTTCACAACAGTTACTGTGAGGTGTGGGCCTCTGGGGCAGACCAAGAGCGGAGCGGCCTCTTCGGGCTTGACGCCAAACAGCTGTGGAGTCCCCGACCGTCGCATTCAGCGGTTGTGCAAAGGGACCCCGGGCTGGAAGCGAGACCCGGGCCTCGGCACTAATCAGACGGTTCTGGCAAGTCCCACGTCCTCCCGAAGGGGCTCTACGGTGAACTCTCTTTCCGATGATAGAAACGGAAACACCAGAGCGCGCCCTTGGAGACCACGCAGTGGCACACGGCTCACACGACCAGTTGCACGCACGGTCCGCATGACTCCACCCAGTTCACACGCGCCCTGCGGACGACAGCCAGCCAGCCAGCCAGCCGCCGGCAGCATGCCGCTTCTCCCAGCGATCCTGGGGGGGGGGGGGGGGCACCAAACATTCGGCCTCATCTGCGTTCTGGATTCTTCGCGGAAGTCCCACCGCGACAGGCAATAAACCTGCCTTGACTTTAAACGTCCAACGCGGGCGCCACCTGTTCTTGACCGTTCCGCGCGCCGTCCAGCCAGTAAGGCGTCCCGGACACCGCGGCCCAGGGACGGGCTCTCCGGGCGGGCTCCCCCGCACAGGAGACCGCGTGCAAACCGGTTTCTACAGGGGAGACGCGCACACCGCGAGATTTCCACAGCCCGAGCCTCCACAACCTCCCTCTCCCGCGGCTCCAAGGATGCGCCTCTTCTGAAGCACGTTTCCCGGTTAGGTCCCGCTGGGCCTGGTGCCCCCGGCACCCGCGGCGGACAGTCTCGCGCACCCCTGCCGCGGGCAGGTCGCGCCACCGAATCGCTCGGGAACCGGCCGCCGCCCGGCCCGAGCCCCTGCGGCTACGCCGGAGTTTCCCGACAAGAGCACAGCAACACACGCTTCGGTTCCGCGGCGCGACTCCTCTTCGTGGACCCCAACTCCCGGCGCGATTCTGAGCGCGTTGCTCCGCCTCTACGGCGGCCACTGCAGAAGGCAAATACCAGCGGAATGGCCAGTGGGTCCGTTTCTCCTCCGCCACCACCGAGGCCGGTCCTCGGCGCTCCGCAGTCCCAGGCCGCCCTGCCCTCGGCGGCCCGGCACGTCGCGGGCCATCAAGGCGGGGTCGCGGGGGGCAGCTCTCGAGGAAAGGATGGCGACGCCGAGCGTCCGATGTCACTCACGTTTCCCGAGCACCGCCGGCCTCTTCTCAGCACCTCGCACGGAACAACCCGAGCCCCGACCACGCTCACTGGCTGACCACGCCGTCACCAGCGCTTCTAGACCCGCTTCGTCCTCTCCTGCGACCCGCGCGGAAACCGCTCCGCGGACGCGTCCGGCCGCCGACACGTGACCGCCGCGCAGACACTCCCGCCGCGGGCGCCGGCTCCCCCGCGGAGGACCGCGCGTGCGTCAGTGCACGCATGCGCGCGCATGCGCGAGACGGGCGCGCGCCTCCCGGCAACGGTTTCCAGGCAGCTGAGCGCCTGCGCTGCGCGACGCTCCGCAGCCCGCGGAGGGAGGTACTGTTCGCCGAGGCTGCGGTGCGCTTGCGCAGTAGCTGGACGCGGGCGTTTCTTTTCTCCCTCTTTATAGAGTTGGTTGGGGGGGGGGGGGGGGGGGGGTAGGTTGGAGTTATAAAATGGCGGCCTGGGGCGCGTTGGGCGCTGTTCTTCCAGCGGTCTTTGGTTGAGCTTACTGCTCTCCCTCACTGCCGAACACAGAGAGGCGAGGCCCCTGGAGGACATGGTGTTGGAGACCCCAGGCTTGCTGACCACCAAGTTCTTCGAGAATCTCCGCGCACCGGAAGCGACCAGGCGCGCTCCTCCGGGTGAGCAGCGGCCGCTTCACACCCGAGGCCCGCGGCTGCAACCTCGCACCCGCTCGCGGTCGTTCACCCGGCTTTCGCCGCAGCCACAGCCCCGCGAGTGCCGCGGCGGCCGGCCGGGAGGTGAGAGGCAGGCGGGCAGCGTGGCAGGGGAAGGGGCCGATCCCGGGGAGGGGCGCCGGGGTCCCGGCACCGGGGTGGGCCTGGAAGGGGGAGCCGGGCTGCGGGGCCCGGGCTTGGGGAGGTGGAACCTGGGGTCAGACACAGTACCTGGGCGTGGGAGGGGGATCCTGGGCTGAAGGAGTCGGGTGAGGGACCCGGGCCAGGAGAGGAGGAAGCCGGGGTCAGGACGCGGGACTCGGACCTGGAAGGGGGCCCCCCCGAGCTGGAGGAGCCGGGCTGTGGGGCCCAGGCTTGGGGAGGAGGAGCCCGGGGTCAGACGAGGTACAGTACCTGGGCGTGGAAGGGGGATCGTGGGCTGGAGGAGCCGGGGTCAGGGTACGGGACTCGGACCTGGAAGAGGGACCCCGGGCTGGAGGAGAGGGGCGAGGGGCCCGGGCCTGAGAGGAGGAAACCGGGATCGGGATGCGGGACTCGGACCTGGGCTGGAGGAGAGGGGTGAGGGGCCCGAGCCGCGGGGTGTTAGGGGTCAGTGGGCAGGGTGGGGCGGGAAGACCGCAGCGGCGCGTAGTCGGGTGCTGTTTGTGAAGCCGGCGCGGGGCCGACCTGTCACGGTTGCGGCGCCCAATTTGGGTGAGGCTCTCTCGGCTGCGGGGCCCCCGCGGCCCCGGCGGAGGCAGAGGCCGGATTGGGCAGGGGCCATCCCCGCTTGGCCCATCTCGGTTTTACTTCCTGGCGCTTCCCCTCGGTACAGCTTTCTCCTTGGCTGTCTCCCCTCGCCCCACTCGCTCCCTACACTGCCTCTTCGGCGTGGCTTCCCATCCCGTACCGCATGTCGAGCTGTTGATCGCCCCTTCCCTCTGTTCCGTTAAGAAATTTTGAGACTTCGTTCTTCCCCAGCGTTCCAGCCTCCGGGGTCCGCCCCCTTGTCCTCTTCTTTCCTCTCTATCGACTACGGTCACTTCTATTTCCATCTTTGGGTGACCTGATGTTGACTGAGGTTCATCCTGGAGGATGAGGCAGCACCTGGTGGCCGAGACAACATAACTCTGCCAGGCACGAATAACAGTTTTCTCCAACTATGGAAACTCTCAATTTTCTATCAGTGCTTCATACCTAGGAATCATTTTAAAATTTACTGCCCTTTTAACCACAATCTTCACTTAAAAAAGTGTTTTTTAAGATTTTATTTTTACCGTAATCTGTCCTGGGGCTGGAACTCACAACCCCCCAGATGGAGAGTCGCATGCTCCCCCCACTCAGCTAGCCAGGCTCCCCCAAATTCTTAATGACGGCCAGGACTGGGCGCCTGGGTGGCTCAGTTGGTTAAGCAACTGCCTTCCGCTCAGGTCATGATCCCGGAGTCCCGGGATGGAGTCCCGCATCGGGCTCCCAGCTCTAGGGGAGCCTGCTTCCCCCTCTGACCTTCTCCCCTCTCATGCTCACTCTCACTGTCTCTCTCTCCAATAAATAAATAACATCTTTAAAAAAAAAAAAATAATAGCCAGGACTTAAGACTCTTTGGGTGCTGGGCCTTGTCCTGAGTACTTTGCGGAGATTTTGGGTTTTTTCCCTTCCTGTTCTTGCATTAAAAAAAAACTATGTATATATTGTCTGGAGCATCATGCTTTGAAATAAAATATGGACGTGCTAAAAAGTATTTTAAAGCCTAGCTCATAATTGAGTCTCTTTTCCTACCCTATGCTCTTTACCATTTTGAGGAGAACTAATATTTTATAGCTTTTGCTTCTAGCAAAACTTGTTTCTTTAATAATATTTGTGAAGCCCTTCTGTGTTCCAAGCACCGTTCTGAACCAAGGTTTTTCTCTATCTTCCTTAATTTTCACAGCACCTTCCTCAGATGGAGAAAGTGAGCACAGCACTCAGATAACTTGCGGGAGGTCTGGCAAGAAAATGGGGAAACTGAGGGGCCAGCGTCTTGTAGTGTTTTCTAAAATAAGTCGTGCCCCCAGATCACAGCTCAGTGACTGCTGGAGAACCTGCTGAGAGCGGGCGGGTTCGGGTCACCTGGAGGGGCCGGAAGCAAGAGAGATCCTGCCCTGTGGTCAGGTCACCTTAGAGAAATACGGTGACCTGGGGAAGCAGCCTCCTCAGTGTTGGTGGCTTTACTCCGCCGGTTATCTCACTTGTGGGCCCCAGTTAGATGTACACTGTCACTGCGCCGTTTGCGCTTCCCGCTCCCCCCCTTTCTTGCCTTAGTAACTTACTAGAGAGTGGAGCGAAACGGGACCTTCCCGCCTCTTCCGCCCCCTGGTGGAGGTGTTCGTTACTGACCGGGGGACGAGTCGTGTGCCTACCCACCCCCCCACGCCCAGACCCCCGCCTCTGAACAGTCGAAGTTCAGTAAGGAGCTATGTCAGAAGGACCCTTGTTTGCTTTTGTTTGAGTGACCAGGATTAATGGCAAAACTTGACAGGGTATTTGAGGGGGAGACCTTAAAAAGGGGGATTTGCAGGTAATGGCTGAGTGTCATACTTCATTATTAGCATTATGGCTGTTAAAACTATTTTACCATTAGGAAAAAAACCCTGTACATACTTGTAAAGTAAAGGTTCAGGTGGTATTAGACTATTAAGAGCTGACACTCCGGGGCGCCTGGGTGGCTCAGTGGGTCAGGCCTCTGCCTTTGGCTCAGGTCATGGTCTCAGGGTCCTGGGATCGAGCCCCGCATCAGGCTCTCTGCTCAGCAGGGAGTCTGCTTCCCTCTCTCTCCACCTGCCTCTCAGCCTACTTGTGATCTGTCTCTCTCTCTTGGTCAAATACATAAATAAAATCTTAAAAAAAAGAAAAAGCTGACAGTCCCCTATGTAATTACTCTGTTGGGGGTTAGAATCGAAGGACTTAGGAATGTCAGCATTTGAATTTAATTTGGTAGATACAAAAGAGAAATGGGCAATGTGTGAATGTGTATCTTAATGACCACGAAATTCTAGGAACCGACTCTGGTGGTTTGTGATGTTGGGACAAGTGAGAGTGGGCAGAGACCATCAGAAGTCCAGATAGGTTTTAGGAACCCTGAAGGAACTGGGTACTTGCCCCAGGCAGGATGGGCAACAGAGGAGATGGAGGGGTTTTTTGGTCCATTTGACTGGTGAGTTAGAGAACAGCCAGGCCAGCACTCAAAATGGAGTTGAGTTGTTGGTTGTTGTACTAATTTTGTTGTTTATAGCAAAGAATATATATTAGGATCAGAAAACATTGCGGATTGTAAGGGATGGGCAGTAGCCCCCTCTCTGGCTAGGTGCTTGTGTCAGTCCTCGTCTCCTCCTCCTTCCTCTGACACGGCTTTAGAGGAGTTGAGTGATGGCTTATTCTTAAAGATCTTACATAAATTTTGAGTGTTAGCACGTCTGTATTAATTACATTTTGAACTTTCAAATGATATTCTGGCTTAACAATATACAATTTGGGGTAATTAAATGTTCAGTCTTGGGAAATTTATTTCTATCAACTGTCTGTAGCCTAAAGGAGAGAACTGTGCTGTGAAAGTATTTCCAGTGCCTGTTAACGTTCTTATCTAAAGATGAACTTCTTTACTGGATCATCTTTAAGAGGATTTTAAGTATTTAAAATGTTTTGCCTCTGGCAAGACTGTAATTGCTACTCAGCATAGAATAAAGTAAGTGCCGGTTGATGATATATGTAGTACTTAAGATTTCAGATTTTAAAAAGTCAGTGTTTTGTTTTAATTTTTTTTTTCAAACGGAGCTGGTTTAGGGTTGTGCAGAAAGAGTGCCAGTGTTCTTGGAAGACCTGCACTGCCTCCTTCCGTAATCCTTCACTGCGATGCGTACACGGAGAGCCTAACCACTGCTGTCAGGTGCTCGTGAAGGCACTCCCCACTGATCAGGAATGGGTTTGGGTTTTTTGTTTTTGTTTTTTTTCTCTTGTTTCATGCTAGAGTGAATTTTCAAAATTCTTTATAAAAATTTTTTGTAAATTCTTGGGAAACCTGGTGGTGCAGTCAGTTAAGCCATCAGACTTTTGGGGTCATCTCAGGTCATGATCTCAGGGTCGTGGGGTCACGCTCCTCAGCAGGCTTCCTGCTTGCTTGGGATTCTCTCTTCCTCTCCCTCTGCCCTTCCTGCTTGTGCGCCTTCTCGCTCTCAGATAAGTCAGGAAGTCTTAAAAAAAATTCTTTGTAAGTTCTTACATCTTGGTCTAGAAACGCACGTTTCACTTCTCTCTACTTTTAACTTAGGTTTGAAAATATGGCCAAAAGGATTGCTGAGAAGGAATTGACAGATAGGAACTGGGATCAAGAAGACGAAGCAGAAGAGGTAAGATCTTCCCCCAAGCATGATTTCCTTCCGCTTCTCAATTTCAGTTTGTTTTGGGATTCCTCAGGAAGATGTTGTAGTAAAATTAAAGGTCTTTTAAAGAACAGCCTGAACGGAAAGTAGTTTGGTCTGTTACGGCCTGTGAGTCGAGAAGTGAGTGAGTTACATTCAGGGCTCTTTCTCTGCTCGCGCCTGTTCCTGGAGTATTCTGCGGCTTCGCAGAAGCACCTTCCTGAATGTCACGTGCTTCCTGCATTCTAAACCCGGAGTTTTAGTCAAGACGGAAGAGTGAGTAAGCGATCTAGTCGTGAGCTCCACAAGGCGCCGGTGCTCACACTCGAGCGTGGTCCCCCACCACGTGCATCTCAGTCTGTCATCCCTGCGGTTGGAGATTCCAGATCGAGGTGCCTCCTGTGCTCTGATGCCTCTTGGAGGCCTGTCTTCTTTCATGTTCACAGGATCTCAGACCTCCCCGCTGCCCAAATGGCAATAATTGGGATGGAATTTAGAGTGGCCTAGTTTCTTTTCTAACAAAATAAAAATGGTCTTCCCTGAGGAAATACTTTAATTTTTCTCTTCCAAATTGTAGAACACAGCTGCCTTTTTCGTGCCTCATCAGCAGTTTGACCCTCCCTGGCCAGTTCACTGAGGAAATCTGTAACCAAGTTAGCCTTTTGAGTTAACAGAATAGTGCTAGGTTTAAGGGGGGAAAAAGAAGAAGAAGAAGAAGAAGAAGAAAAGGCGTGTTCCAGGCTTATTCCTAAACCATCTTCCTTCTTTCCGAATCTGTCTTGTGGTATGAACGTTTTCCCCTTTACAAATAAACGTATTAGCATGTTTAGGGAAACCAAAATCACAAGTATACTAATATTTTGACAAGGTTTTTAATATTCCTAACTGACTTGGTGCTTTTTAACCAACTCCTTGGAAACTTTCTCCGGGTCTTACGCACAGTGTTACATTCTGTGCCTGTACGATTTATGATAACTACCTAGTGATTTGCTTTGACGCACATATAGCAGGAGTGAGAGAGAGTCTGAAAGGACCTCACCCTGAATTCAGGACGCACACAGCCAGGCGGCCCCTTCTCTTTAGTGCAGAGATCTCTGAGTTTAACATTATCTGAGGTAACTACAGAGACCACTTCTTACAGGAAGTATTTTATGCCAGCCCTACAGGGTAAAAGGAGGATTGAAATAAAAGATACTCAGCAAATTCCCAACGGTGGGCATAGTTCTGTCAGCCAGTGGGATGAGCAGCAGCTGCAACGGGGTCACTTCAAGCCCAGCATGTGCCGGTGTCTCCGAGATGACGGGCAAATGGACAAGGTTTCTCTTAAAAATCAAGTGCCTATTGATAAATACAAACTCTCTTTTTTGGGAACTGCAGTCATAAAATCTAGGATCTTATGACCGGCTCTGTTACCCACTGTTAATGATCTTTAAGTTATCTTTTGGCTTTTGAAGACCAGATTTTTGCTGCCTAAAACTGGATTTTTATTCTAAGTTATATTCATATCTTTGAATATATTTGAAATTCGAAGAACTTGTCCTGAATAGTTTCCTACCAAACTTGTTTTTGTTAACATCTTATTTACGTACTTTTATTTTTTTTTTAAGATTTTATTTATTTATTTGACAGAGATCACAAGGACACAGAGAGGCAGGCAGAAAGAGAGGAGGAAGCAGGCTCCCTGCTGAGCAGAGAGCCCGATGTGGGGCTCAATCCCAGGACCCTGGGATCATGACCTGAGCTGAAGGCAGAGGCTTTAACCCACTGAGCCACCCTGGCTCCCCTTATTTACTTACTTTTAGATTGGGGAGGGGTGCAGAGTGAGAGCGACAGTATCGGGCCGACTCCACACCGAGCACAGAGCCCAACACGGGGCTCGATCCCACAACCCCGAGATCATGAGCTGAGTCGAAATCAAGAGTCGGAGGCTTAACCGACTGAGCCCCCAGGCGCCCCTCTAAAGACTTTTGACGGTCTCAGTCTTGTCAGCACTTTCCTGTGTGCTGTCCTCTGGATTGTGATTCAAAGCCTGGGTTTACATAGACCTGGAAGGTTTCGGACTCACCGGAGTAGCTTCGGGAATCACAAGATAGATAACAGACGTCAACTTGATCGCAGGTGCCCTCTCCATAATCTTTTACAGTATTCACGGTACTTTAAAACCAGCAGATACTAAGATAAGTTTGGTCAGGCATTTTGGTTAGCGTTTCTTCTCGTTTTGGGCCTTCTCTTACTGCTGTTTAATTTGTGTACCTGCAGGTGGGAACGTTCTCAGTGGCCAGTGAGGAAGTCTTGAAGAATAGAGCCATAAAGAAAGCAAAGCGTAGAAATGTTGGATTTGAAGTGAGTGTTTTCTTACCACTTTTGGTATTAAACACTAATTTGATTTCTAATTGCAGAGCCTTTCTACCTCTGGGAGCAGTCAGATCAATCAATGCTTCTTCAAATGTTTTCTCTACTTGTGAAAATCCTTGAGGTGTACCGTGGGAGATAGAAACAATAAGTACGAGATGTGCACCTTATCCAGCTGTAGAAGTAAAGTGTAGAGCTAGACAGATGCGAGCTGAGGAGCAGTAGGAAGAGGAGAGGGTGACAGGGGGAATGAGGGAGGGAAATGCAGGGTGTTCTCGTGCTCCCTCTGCTCCCTGGCATTGAGGAGTGTGGCGGGGGTTGTGGTGGGGGGAGTCTGTTAGCTGTAAGGGAAGCATTTCACATGTAGATTTTCTTCCTAATATAGTGTGTTACAGGGTTTCCTTCCTGTGTTCACAAGGGTTAAAGATGAATCGTAACTCTGGAAGTCACATGGTCTGCATTCAGCCATCACTCCACATTTAATAACGCTTACCCGGTACAGTCCTCAGCCCTCAGACATGTTCCAGATGCCTGCGAGCTGACTCAGTGGCCTGGCCTTCTGTTGTCGGGCTGGAGGAGCTGGTGTGCACGCCCCGGGTGGCAGCCGGAAGGAACCTACTCAGTGACACCTTTGTGGTGGCCCTGTTAGTGTCCTCTGGTTGATTTCAATCTTAAAGACTGATGACGAGTTGGATGTATTGAGGCTGGATGGCTCCCTCATGGAGAAGATACAGCAGGGGAAGGACAACTTAATTAGGGTGGAAGTGATTGGTTTACTTGGGGAATGTATTTTAAGGGCCTGGGGTACATCCCAGTGAGGTTCTGTAGGAGACCACTGTGTATATTTGGGTGGTTACCTGGTGCAGGAGGAGGGGTGACTGCTGGCTACAGCTCTGGGAGTCGTCACCATGCCGGATGTTGAAACTGGGGTGTAAGCTGAGAGTGGCAGCTCGTGACATAGACTGAGAAGCCAAAGGAAGGAAGACCGCCTCGAGGAGAGATGGTGCCTCTCAGGAGTGATGGTGAAGAGGTAGAAACCATGTAGACCACAATCCAGACTTGGCCCAAGGGAAGGGGGGTGGGGGAGCCCTCTGGCTGTTAAAGGAAATGAACATGGATAGTTGAAATCTGCCTGATCATTTCAGCTATAACTTTTAGAACGTGTGTAATAAGAAATTAAATGTTATGTCATCTGCTTCAATGCTGAAATGTGCCTTTTCCCCTAGAGGGTTGACTGTTGAACGACATGGGTTTGAATGGCCTGGGTCCATTTATACGTGGGGGGTGAGGGGTGGTTAATAAGGGAGAGGGCCAGTGCACCTGCCCCCCATGTTAGTCAGGGGTCGCCTGTTGTGGTTTTGTCCATTCATTCAACAGACCTGCTAAGTGCTAGAGATACATTGGTGGGTAAAAACAGGAGTAAGTGAAATACCCATGCCCTGTGGAGCTTACGTCCTAATGATGGAAGAGACACACTGAGTGTGTAGTTTTTGTCTTTCTTTAAGTGCCATGGAGGGAAATGAGTGAGGGAGACTGGCGGGCCCAGGAGCGTGTCAGTTCCGTAGGGCCCAGGCAGACGGCTTCTCATTCACTTCTGTCCTTTTTCTGAGTGACTCCTGTTCCTTTTTTTTTTTTTTTTTTTAAATCAGTGGTTCTTGAATTTTTGTGATAATCCTAGAGCCAATTTGCTGTTAACAGTTTCTAAAATCACTATAAATAACCTGTGGCTTTTATTTATTTTTATAAAGATTTTATTTATTTATTTATTTGACAGAGATCACAATTAGGCAGAGGCAGGCAGAGAGAAGGGGAAGCAGGCTCCCCGCTGAGCAGAGAGCCCGATTCGGGGCTCGATCTCAGGACCCTGAGACCATGACCTGAGCCGAAGGCAGAGGCTTAACCCACTGAGCCACCCAGGCGCCCAGCCCGTAGCTTTTAAATCTCCCGCAGAATAACAGGCTCTGAGGAGCCACTCACAGCTTTCCGCTTTGTCTGTGCAAAGCCATTGCAGGATGGTAGCTGTCCGTTTGCTGTCTTCGGGTTATTGAATGATCAAATCAAATGGAAGCGTCAGGGCCTAAGGCGTATTTATTACACGCGTTAAAATTCATACAAGTTAAGTTGCCTTTTTTGCCTAATTTTATTGCTATAATTGTATCTTTGGTGAGTAACCATCTGAAATTCCTGTGGATGTGATTGAAACTTTTGTGTTTTTTGAAAACTACAATATTATTAGGCTAACCAGCCCATTCAGAAAATGAAGAGTTTCTGGTTGAAGTAATATTTTTGTGAGCTTCTGATTATAATTCATTTGGGTTAAAAATGGAAGGTTTGTGCACTCCCTTGGATGTTTGGAAGCACGGATTCCGTGATGTGTTTCCGAGAACATTTCCTAGAGCCTCCCTGATCCAGGAAGCAGATCGTGCCCACTGTGGTGTAACCACTAGTCTTGAATGGGGGGCCGGGGAGAGGGGACTTCAGCAGAGCAGTGTAAACTGGGGAGCATCCCTCCGAGAGTTTGCAGGGGCGGAGAGCGGGTGTAGACGCTCACAGTGAGTGCCAGACATTTCCAGAGCGTTGTGGGTTGGAGATGCGAGGAAGCCAGCGGCCGTGGGAAAGGTCTACTAGAAGGACCTTGCTGCTGGAAGTAGTGAGAAAATCGAGAAGAAAGATGCTGCCTCTGGATTTCTCAACCAAGGGAAAGTCCAGATTTGAGAGTCATCAACTCACATTTCCAGAAGCTAAAAGCTACAGGAATGCTTTAGAAGTCCTGGGAGGGTGGGTAAAGATACCTCATCAGTCAGCCTGACCTGACGCTCCTACAGCTGCCTTAGGCTAACGGTCCTGGATGCAGAGGTGCAAGAAAAATGCTTCATTGGGGCTTCAGTTGTTTTAGGATATTTTTAGTCCTAATTCTGAGGCTGTGTACACAAATTGATTGCATTAGTCTTTTTTGCTTTCTGTACCTTAAATATATTTTTAAAAACAAGTTTCACTGCAAGTCCCTATCTTCCTGGCTGTCAGGAAGGCCGCTTCGGGCTGCAGAGCTGTCACTGCAAGTGAAGTCGGGCTCAGGTCCTGTCTGTGTGCCGGCTGCTCCCTTTCCTCGGTGCTGGCCCCGTGAGCGTTCTGGGTGCTGCTCAGCTGACGCGGTCTTGTCACGGACTTGCTTATTTATCTGGGAAGCGCAGCGTCATCTAACGTGTGCTCTCTCTCTGTTTCAGTCCGATAGTGGAGGGGCCTTTAAAGGTTTTAAAGGTTTGGTTGTACCTTCTGGAGGAGGCGGGTTTTCTGGATTTGGCAACGGTGCTGGAGGGAAGCCTCTGGAAGGACTGTCTAATGGAAGCGGCGTGACCAGCGCCCCTCCCTTCTCCGGCGCCAGGGCAGCCACGGAGAGCAAGGCAGCCTTCGGTGAGTAGGTCCTCCTCCCCACACTCACATCTACGTAAAGACTGTTGGGAAAATAACTGGGCAACGATGTTTTCCTTGTACCTCACCTGGGTCCCGGGATGACATGAGCAGAAACAGCATGATAACGAAAGGGAAATTAGGGAGATGTTGACTTTTTGCCGAGTGAGTAGAGCGCGGGCTTTTGAGCCAGAAGAGACCCAGGTTCTGTTCTCAGCTCTGCCGGCCATAGGCCCTGCGACCCTGGTCAAGCTCCTTAGCCTCTTAACCTCCAAACCTCGAACTGTGAAATGAGAACGATCCTCAGAACTGACCTGTGGGGTAAAGGAGAAGAGGAAGCTCTCAGTGGACCCTCCATAAAGACCTGCCTCCCGTGTGCTCATTCGTTCTCTGTGTACCAGGGACTTGCCCACACCTGCGAGGAACTTGCGGGTCCTCCCCCTAGATTGATTTCACCTGGGATGCAACGGCCTGATCCTGTTTTGAGAGACTTGGTCTAGAACTCTTGGGATCAGCAACAGAGAACGGACTCATGGGCTCCTGTCTTTGGTTTTCAGAAGCGATCCTGGCTGGTTGGATTGTGCTTAGCTAGTAATTTTAACTGTTTACTGTTTTGTTTTGTTTTTTTAAAGATTTTATTTATTTATTTGACAGAGATCACAAGTGGGCAGAGAGGCAGGCAGAGAGAGAGGAGGAAGCAGGCTCCCCGCCGAGCAGAGAGCCTGATGCGGGGCTCGATCCCAGGACCTAAGATCATGACCTGAGCCGAAGGCAGAGGCTTTAACCCACTGAGCCCCCCAGGCGCCCCTATACTGTTCTGTTTTAATGAGGCGGAGCGTGTTGTGTGATTAAGCCGGCACTTTCTGTTAAGGTTTTAACCGCATTAATGTATGTTCATCCCTACAACCTGGGGGGTTAAGTTTTATACTAACTATTGTGACCGTTCTGGGGGAAGCCGGCCTCCTTTTCAAAGAAAAAATTATTTTAAATTATAGAAGTTTAATGCAAGCACATCATAGGCCGTGTTCTTGATTTTTGTGATCACCGGTTCCTAAACACTCGGCGCGCACATACTTCCTGAACTGCCACAGTAAAAGCAGAAAACAGGAAGACAGCACAGCGCGCAAACCAGGTCATAGAATCTAATCAGGGCCTCCGTAAACTCTTCAACCTTTAATTTCCCTGTAGGATCTGTTGCTGCGAATGGTCCTACCTCCTTGGTGGATAAGAAGGTTTTAACTCCCAAAACCAACGGGGACAGTCAGCAGCCCTCCTCTTCCGGCCCCCCCTCCGGCGCCGCCTGCCCCCGGAGCGCCTACCACAAGCAGCTGGCGGCCTTGAACTGCTCCGTGCGGGACTGGATCGCGAAGCACGTGAACACCAACCCGCTGTGCGACCTGACACCCATCTTCAGAGACTACGAGAGACACCTGGCGGGGATCGAGCAGCAGCACGGGAGCAGGGGCGGCCGGGGCTCCGAGAGTGAGGCCGATCGAGTGCCGCTCGCCACCCAGTCCCCTTCCCTGTTCGGGGCAGCGAAGCCGCAGCAGGACTCGGCGTTCCCGTTCGCCGGCGGCAGGGCAGAGGACGGCGCCGAGAGGAAGACGGAGCCGCCCGCGGGAGCCGCAAGTGCCTCGTTCAACTTCGGCAAGAAGATCGACGGTTCTGTCCTGGGCTCCCTGAACTCCGGCCCCCTGACTGGGTTTTCATTCTCTTCGGGAAACTCCAGCTTCTTCGGCAAAGATCTGACCCAGAATAAACCAGCGTCTTCACCGTTTTCTGCGAAAACGTTGGAGGTACAGGCCGAAGGCGGCAGTAGCGACTACAAAGGTAATAATGGAGTTTACCCTCCTGAGTCTGTCTCGGAGCCGAGTTCGGGTTTAGCGGCATGAACGTGGCTTTGCGGTTCGGGGGCATCGGGAATCGCGGTGGGACTCGCCGCTGCCCGGAGGTGCTCTCGGACACGCGAGTCTGGCGTTTCCCTCCTGATGAAGTCAGAGCTGTTCCGTGGCGCTGCCGTAAGCACCGCGGGTGTAAGAATAAGAGTGACGGCCGTAACGGTGTCTGGCACGGCGACTTGGAAAAGTATCACATGCATGGTTTTGCACATCAGAAAGTTCAGTGAATTAGCGGTGATTGAGAATTGGGTCTTGACCGAAAGAAAGAACTGGTCATCGGTGTCCGCCGCGTGTCTCGTGTTTGGAAGTTTAGTCGTAGGTGAAGTCTCCTGGCAAAATAGTGCTCTGCTGCGAATGGAGAGGGGGCTGTGCGGCACCGCGGGAACGGGTGGGCGGGACTTCCCGCGATGTGTCTGGACTGCAGCCACCTTTCCAGAAGCGTCCGCCTTGGGTGGTGGCATCAGTGCCCCAAACTGGGCTGGAGTCACCGGCCCTTCGCTCCCTGTTCTTAGCTCTTTGGAAGGAGCGGTTAGTGGCCTCATCCCGTGGTGGCTGCGAACACCTTGTGTGAAGTCACTCACTTGTAAGCAGTTAGGACGTGCATCTCGCAGGAGGTGTTCACTTCTCGACACTCCAGAATGGAAGAGACCAGCCATTTTCTCCTGGGAGCGAAACTTCCATTCCTTCGAGCCTGTCCTCAGGCAGGGGCCCTCCAGAGCAAAGCACAGACTAAAGCTCTCCCCTTTTATTTCTCTGCCCTCAATACGACGGCTCCTCGGGCTGTCCCCGGATCGGCGAGGCTGCCCGTGCGGGGGCGTGAGTGAGGCTCAGTCCCCTCACGGTGCCCGATCGTAAAGTCCTCCTGCTCGTCCGGTGGCTGTGCTGCTCCCCGCGCCAGGGGGACCGAGAGCTTGTTCGAGTCTCACTGCCGGGGCCTGCCCTGGAGAGCCTCGCTCACGGCTGCCTTCTCGGGAGTTTGAGTCTCGTCCCTTTGACTTGTTGGAGCACCGCAGTTGTTTTTCTGAGAGTTGCTGTTTGACTTAGTGTGTGTCCTGAGACCATCTTTCTCTGGAGGCTCGTTCTTTGCATCGGTGTCGTGGATCTCCCCTGGGGCTGGGGAGGCCGCCAGGGGCCCGAGCTGCTAGATGTGGGGCTGCAGACGCAGCCTGCTCACGCTTCGGGGTGGTGTGGCTGACAACCTGCCCTGTACCCAGCTTTATTGTCCTCCTCTTCGGCCATCGCTGAGACCGATTCCTTAGCGTGACGCACAGGGCGTCCCAGGAGCGTCGGGGTGGAGCTGTGAGAGGCCTGCCGGAGATTTTCCTTTTCCCTTGGGGGATCTGGAGTCTGTTTATTTTTCTGTTAAAATTGCTGCACTGAGTCATAAGCGTGGACGGTTTTTCATCCCAAGGCTTTCTCCAAATTAACATTTAGAAGAGGGAAGCATGCTCCATTAAAAATTCCCCGAATTTTTCACAAAATAATTACAATCCAGTGAGTCGTCGTTCCCGTCCCCCCCCACCCCCGCCCCAGTTCGATGTGTGCTTTCGGTTTCTGGGTCCGCTTACGGGCAATTTGTGGATTGAGGTGTTGGGGGTGAGTGACCTCTGTTGTGACGTTTCTAAGCTCCTGATTTGAATTTCACTGAGTTAGTGTTGTTTTTCTAAAAGGCGGAGATGAAGAAGAGAGTGATGAGCCACCCAAAGTAGTAGTTACTGAAGTGAAGGAAGAAGATGCATTCTACTCCAAAAAGTAAGTAAGAGTCCGGGAGTCCATGTGCTGGGCGTGTTGTCGGACATAGAAGGATATGGAAGGCGGCCTTTGGGGCAACCTCCTCCTCTCGGGATTTGCTGAGCACCCCGTCCTGGGGTCAGGCTGTGCCTGATCTCTGAATGGGAACCAGGGAGAATTCTTGACCTGTTCTTTGGAAAACAAACAAATTCTAGAAATTTCCTGCTGGGCATTTCCTACTCTTTGCTAGTATTTTTGTTCTTTCTTGCTTCTAAAGTGCTTTAGAAACAGGCTTTTCTTTGTCCCCCCATCTCCTTCCTCCTCTCCTCCCACCTTCCTGCACAAAGTCAGCGGGTCCTTGACGTCAGCTTTGGTCTTTCTTCTGCTCTTCATTGGGAGGGGCCTCCCATCCTGGAGACCTGGTTGGCCCTTGTGGGTTTTCTCAGCCAAAAGCTCTGCTATGTCCAGCCCTTCATTTCTTCCCCAGTGATGAGAGCAGTGTCGGGTTTTTGTTCACTTGTGTTTTTAGGGGAGAGCTGTGCTTTCAGCACAAAGCTAAGGAGAAGTATTGAATCATCTCATGCCAATGAAATGAAATTAGTACTTTTTAACATAATTACAGAAAAGTCAGTGGTGCCATTTTAGAACCTTTGCTAGATGTGTCTTTTTAAATACAGAAATTTCGGACGGAGTTAGCAGTGTTAACAGTCCCCATAGCCTATGGAATTCCCAAGTATTATTTCTGAGAACTTTTAAGAATCCAGCAGTTCCCTTTTCTTGTTTTTTTAAATTTAATTTCACAGATGATCTCTATAGGAGTGATTTATTTCCTGATTGGAATGAATCAGAGGAGCGGGCAGTGGTTTGATGTGCGGGTTCATGACCCAAGGAGATGTGTGACGCGGCAGGCTGGGGGGGCTGTTGGAAGACAGTACTGTCAGCCCTTGCTTAATGGGGCACTGGGGGGCTCAGTGGGTTGGGCCTCTGCCTTCGGCTCAGGTCATGATCTCAGGGTCCTGGGATCGAGCCCCGCATCGGGCTCTCTGCTCAGCGGGGAGCCTGCTTCCTCCTCTCTCCCTCTGCCTGCCTCTCTGCCTGCTTGTGATCTCTCTCTGTCAAATAAATAAATAAAATCTTAAAAAAAAAAAAAAAAGTTTTCCAGGGCACCTGGGGGACTCTGCCTTTGGCTCAGGTCATGATCCTGGGGTCCTGGGATGGAGCCCTGCATTGGGGCGCCTCTCTCAGTGGGGAGTCTGCTTCTCCCTCCCCCTCTCCCCCTGCTTGTGCTCTTTCTCTCTCTCTCTCTCTCTCTCTCTCAAATGAATTGTTTTAAAAAAGTGATTTCCAGAATTTCAGCATTTTGGTAGAACAAAAATTGAAGGAGTCCTGAAGAAAATTCAAAAATGAATAGGAAAAAGGGGAAGAGAGATGGGGGAGGGTCCTGTATTTGTTCCCGTGCCCGGAAGGACCAGATCGGCCTCTGGAGCTCGGGGCCAGAGGAGCGCGGCAGACGTGCCACATGTTTGCCGTGGTGGCTGACTTGAGGGCGGCTTAAGAAAGTTGTTTCCAAGCTCCACGTGACCCACTATTTTAATAATTGGGAGGAAGAGGGAAGGGCGCTAGACTCTCTAACCTGATTTTCTTCCTTGGGTTTTACCCAGACCCAGGCTGAGTCAATCCAAGATTCATCCCGGTCTTTGCACACAAGTGTGAGCAGCAGTTGCTGGGAAGCTTGTCTGCTGCTTTCTCTCCGCAGGTGTAAGCTGTTTTACAAGAAAGACAACGAATTCAAAGAGAAGGGTGTGGGCACCCTGCATTTAAAACCTACGGCCACTCAGAAGACGCAGCTGTTGGTGCGGGCAGACACCAATCTAGGTGGGCATCTCGCGTCTCGGGCCACAGAAGGGCGTCCTCCGTTTAAAGGAATGTGCTCCGGGTAGGAAATCACCAGTTAACACACGGCGGGCACCCCCAGCCTCACGCTCAGAACCGCTGCCGGAAGGGGCCCAGGCTGGGGGCCGGGGCTGGGCTGTGAGGAAGCGGTGGGTACCGCTAGGCCCTGCCGGGCTGGGTTGCAGAAACTTCTCTGCGGCTTTTTCTTTCCTGTGGGCTTGACTCGTGGGTGATGCCATCGCCGTCGTAGCGCTCTTAGCCGATGAGCCACAGAGAGCTGCTTTGCCGACCGTTCTGCCTTCGTTGGAAGGACCTCGTGAAGGCTCCGGGTCGAGCCAGCGCGTCCTCCCTCCACTGTGAGCACGGGCCCCTGTCCGAAGGCCTGGCCGCTGTGACGGTGCGCGGGGGTACGGGCGGGAGGCAGCGTCTCCGCCGTGGGGCCTCGCGGGCCTGTCTGCGGGACACCGTGCTGGCACCTGCATCGGGGAAGCCGGGCCCTTCTCCCCCGACCTTCCCGACGCCTCCCAGTTTTAGATCTGTTCGGTCCAGGAGGGCTTCCGTGCTCCGGGTTTAGCGTGCCGAGGCTGTGGTCTCGGGGAGCAGTAGTTGGTCTGTGTGACCGTCATGCCCTTTTCTCCCTTGTTGACTTGCAGGCAACATCCTGCTGAACGTTCTGATTCCACCCAACATGCCGTGCACCCGAACGGGGAAGAACAACGTCCTGATCGTGTGTGTTCCCAACCCGCCCGTCGATGAGAAGAACGCCGCCGTCCCGGTGACCATGTTGATCCGCGTAAAAACAGGCGAGGACGCGGATGAGTTGCACAAAATTCTACTGGAGCACAAGGATGCCTGAACACGTGTGGACCGGGGTTGCCGCCGAGTTGCCGCCGCCCCCACCGCCCCTTAGACGTAGTCTGTTTCTCTTCTTACTTTGACATTCTGAGAACTCAGAGGGAACTTAAAACTTTGTGAGGAAGATTAATATGGCCAATAAAACCTTTAAATGTTAAGTGTCAAGAACCTGTATCCTCCCTTCTTAAGAACTGTCTAATGTGTAAAATACGTTTGAATGACTTCTTTTGGAAGATTTTTAATGTTCACTTATTAAACTGACCACAAGTGGTTTCTTAATAGGCTGAAATCAGGGTATCGATTAGACTTCCCAAAGGCTGCTCCGATCCATGGGTTTTGGGGTCTGCTGCTCCCCCTGGCGAGGCTTTCCGCAGCCCACGTGTCCCGCAGGAAGCTTGGCGGCAGCATTCTCTCCGGAGAACAGCACTCGGAGTCGCGCCGCCGCCGCCACCGCCGAGCTGTTTTTCCTTTGCTTTCTCGAGCCCGTGTTTTATAACAGCTGAACCCGGTCAGTGGCTCCCCCTGGGCGTGAAAGGCTGTAGCTTCTGTTTGCAGACTTGGCCCTTTAACCCCGCGGGCTGCTTTACCTGATTGAGGAACTGCTTTTCCATTTGAAAAGGAAACAAGTAGCTTGTTCTTTGGTTTTGTAGTTTCATTCTCAAGGTGCTCTCCCCCCGCAAAGATAATAGAGGGGGATTTGCCAGGAATGAGGTTTTAAAAGCACAAATTTGGTAGCTTATAGTGTATGGACCACGGACACCAAACCCTTGCAGAAAGGAAAGTCGAAGGTAGAGCTTAGCACAGAAGAAAGAAGACGTCTCAGCTGTTTGTGCCGCGGGGAACCGCAGGCGTCCTCGGAGCTCCTGTGCGTTAGCCAGGAAACATGCAATAAGGTAATGGAATTGCAAGTGTGTGCGTCAGTGTGGCCTTTAACTTTGGACAGAGGTGTATTCTACATTTGATACCTGAAGTTTCCACTTTTTTTTTTTTTTACAAGTCAGTTACTCAGTATGTCCGTGCGGAAGGAGCCACGGTTCTGCGCCAGCGGAGTCGTGGCCCTTCCCCACAGCTGTCCGGGAACGGATCCTAGTGTTCTTGGAAGATCCTGGGCACGTGAATTAGATGCAGGTTTTCATGTTTAAACGTCCACTCTCATTCCTCGTTAATCATTGAATGCTGGTACCACATGACCGTGTTTCAAGGCTCAGGGGCCGTGCCTGAGGGCTCACACTCGTATGTTCCGATCTTCAGTACGTCATGTCTTCTGACTTAGAAAACTGTAGAAATAGTTGTAGATAGTACAGTTGCTTTTTTAAAGAAGCTATAGTTTTTAGAGATTTATAAAGGGGGCAAGGGAACCATTTTTATGATCCAGTATGTTAACTCAGGTGTGACGCCTGACGTGTGGCCGCCAGCCGCCCGCTGACCATGAGGTTTTCGGATTCCGGTGAAAGATTCTGGTCCCGTGTGTGCCTCTGCACAGACGCAGCGAGGCGTGCGTGCGCGTGGGGGCTGTGGTCAGGCTCTCACGTTAGGACAGCTAGGGAGGGAGTGGCAGTCATTTTTTCATTTCCCTTGTAGAATCGAGAATACTCCTGAGTGTTCGTTACAAGTGAGTTCTAGGACGTGGTGGTCGGTGGTGGTCCGGCGGCCGTGGCCCACCGGCCTTGAGTGAGGTTATCCAGCTGCTAGAGGTTGAGGAGATGCAGGGTACAGATTTCTGTCCTGTGCGGCCCAACCGTGGTCCCCGGAGCCGCGAGGCCACTCGGGCACTTTCAGGGGGCACCGCACTGGCGACAGCCTCTGCGTGGCCAGTGAGACGTTTCCCAAACGTGGCCCGATGGTATCAGGATTGGGTCACCTTTCACCCCCACCTGGGAAAAAGAGTTGATCATCATTTTTGCATTAGTGGGTGTGTGTGACTTTCTCTTCTGACATTCCCAGCAAATTATTGCTGCTAAGACTCACTGTTAAAGGGACAATTACAGGGACAGGTGTGACGCATGTGTGGTCCCCACATGGTATTTCCTTCATGTCGCTTCCCCTTTAGGAACTTGCTGGTCTCGAATTGTGTATTCATGCAAAAGAGCAGGAGCGTGTGCGGATTTTCCTGTAAAACCTAAATATTTGTATGTTACTTGGGGGAAGAGGCCCCTTTGGCCCCCAGAGGGCCGGTCTTCTTTCCCTTGCTGTATTAGTAGCTAAATTCCACCCCACGGGTTTAGTTAGATTTATTTTTTAACAAAAACATTAGAAATTAGGCTTTCAAATGTTTAATGCTGACTGAAATTTTTGTATTTAGTTAGAGGATCTATGACATATACCATCTATGTGGCCTGAAGGGAGGGGTTTTTAACCTTTAATCTGAAATCAGTTGTGTTGCATCTTGACAAATACCGAGTGTCCCAGTGGCCTTTTTAACTGGTGTGTGTCCTTTTGAGAGTTCCCCAGTAAGCAAAAAAATGAGCGTTGTGCTGTCCTCGTGTTTAGAATTACAGGCTGGAGGTGTGTGTCCAGTTTTTAAAGCAGTTTTGATTGTGTCTGACCATGTATGGATTTTCTTGAAAAGGATTATATATAGTTTTACAATTTCAGTTCTAAATCATATTTTTGATATGCTGCATGCCAAAAAGAATCTACCTGTTCTGGGGTAGAGGAACAAAAATTGCCATCTTACTCTCTGAGTGCAGAACAAGTTATCACTGAGAAAGCCTTTTTGGTTTCATTTTAAAGTTAAACGTGTCTTTTGAACAGCTGTCTGTTCCTTGATTTCTGAAGTCAGAATGCAAGCACAGGGCATTTTGAAGGATTTGCAAACCCAGTGGCTCCCTCCCAAACCCCTGGGTGTTCGTTCTCATTCTGGAAGTGAGAATCTGGGGTAGAAACCGGTGAGTCCCGCGGTGCTGACGGGGGACCGCAAGGAGCCTGTCCAGTCCTGCACTGAGCACGGAGGGGACGTTCTTGGCCAGAGGCAGTCATGGTTGGGACCCCGGACTTTGCTTGACGCAGACGCGATCATAACAGATGTAAGACTTCTTAGCAATCAGATAAGTTGTTTGCTTTCTGTTTTACATAGGAAACTTTTCTAAAACTAAAATACTTGAATTGTCAGACAATGTAATCTCAGTTTGTATTAGTTTTTGAGGAAGTGTAATAATCCATGGAATGTGAATAAATGGAAAGTAACAAAATCAGTGTTTGACACTCTTATGTTCCTCATGTCGATACAAGTCCTGTGGGCCGGAGGGAGTGGGACGGCGCAGAAACCCCCAGGCGGCGGAGGCTCTGCTTCCTCTCGGCCCCTGCCCGCGCCGGCATCCCGTTCCGAGCCACTCGAGGGTCTGTCGTGTGGGATTCACGTCCTTACAAATGAGAATGGGCAATGGTAGCTGTATCACGGGCCCCCGACCAGAGCACTGCGCCAGATGCCGAGCGCTCCTTTGGCCGTCAGGGCAGACTCCCAGACGGGCTCCATGGGTCACTTCCCAGAGCTCGGCGCTGGGGCGGGTGAGTGCGTTTCTTACGGTACACACATGGGTTTGGGATCTGTGTCCAGGTCTGTCTCAGTCAAAAATCTGTGAACCCTCCTAAGGGTATTTTAAAACTATAAAGATGAAGATGATCAAGGAAAAAACACATTGTAATTCTAGAGCTTTAAATTTTCAGTGATCCAGAAAATCGCTATTAAGGCATTAACAGACTCAACTATAATACAGTTGCAATACGATTTTGGAGTCAAGTGCTGAGTGGCTCAGACGTGTGTCCTAGTAAGGTACTGTGGAGACAGACTTATTCATCGAATCAGTAGTCCGGAACCAGTAACGTCCCGTGGGAACTAAGTGACAGGAGAGGGTGCTTGTCCTCAAAACGCACCGGTCCCTTGTAGGCACTCAGCGGATGGGCCGCTGAGAACGGGGTTCTCCCAAGTGTGAAGCTGGCAGCGGCAGTGGCCACACCTTGGAACTTGCCAGAAATGCAGACTTAGGGGGGGCAGAGAACAGTGTGGTTTTTGTTTTGGTTTTTTTTTAATTGGGAAATTCACACTTTTAAAGTGTAGGGTTCAGTCCTTGTTAGTATAGTCACAGAACTGGGCAAACATCACCATTAATTCCAGAATATGTTCATTCCTGGGTGAATGAGTTTCAACAGACGGTTCTGACACAGGCTCAAGTCTGAGAATGGCCCCACCCCTCACAGGCTACGTCCCTGCTCTGCTGTGATGCCCTTCTGGCACATTCCAGTAGGGGGACAACTGTGCCAGCCTCCGCACATGTCTCACCTCCACCTCTGCACCCGGGAAGGGAGGAGGTAAGGCTGGGAAAACCCAGGCCTGAGTCCCACATGCCCGGGGGAGCCGCAGACCCACATGGACTATGCCCAGCGTGCCACTCGTGCCCCTCGAAGGTGTGCGTACGTGCCCATTAAAGGACTAAACTTGACTGGCTTCCAGAATGGTCTAAAATCTTCAGAACAAAGTTGTTTATTCGAAATATTAAAGTTCACTAAAAGCCATGGTTCTTTCAAACTGAGCAATCTAATTGTTTTATTAAAGTCAGATTCCAAGATGAAAGACCCTTAATCCACACATAGGAAAAGAAATAATCTTGTCAAACCTGTTGGCTTAGGTAGAGGCCAAGTCAGCTGTGAGCATAAGAAAGGAAGTCTTTTGTTTTGTCATCCCCCAAAACAAACATTCTCCCTTCGCACATAAGTTTCCCAGTTGTTCCGGTCATTTTAACAATCACGAAGCACAGCAGGCTTGTCCGTTCAGCATGTGTATATACAATGAACTAGGATAGTGCATGGATTAATTTATTTTACATTTTCCCCTCCTCCCGATAGAAAATTCCCAAAGGTTTTCTCTTCCAGCCAACATGTATTTCTAAAGCTAGGCCATGACGGTAGTTCCTAGACGTTCCTCGAGGTCGGACTAGAAAGGCTGAGGCAGCAGCGTTAGCCTCGGGGAGGCGGCAGCCCCTAGGACGAGGTTCTGGCGCAGCTTTCTCCAGGAAGAGCTGTTAAATAGTTTGCAGGCGACTGTTTTAAAGGGGCCTCCTCCTACCTCTTTAATGAGAAGGGGGTTTGACCTGGATGGCAGCAAAGACCATGTCTTTTAAAAGTTTCAGTACCGGCCTGCCTGCTTGGTGACCGCGCGCAGTCTGCTCTCCGTGACGCTGCCTCAGAAAACTCCCGGTTCGGATGTTTCTAACGCAACGGATGTTTGCCAGAGACCTCCTCGACGTGACGGTTCGCACTGTATTTCTAGACTTGCGTACATGTTCCTCTCAGACCCCCCTTCTGTGCTCTCACTTCCTCTCATGTAACTTCTCGCCGTGGCGGAGGCCTGACGCCTGCCCATCACCTGAGACACAACTTAGTCGTCTGCTCCCGGGGCGAGCGAGCCCACTGCCGCCGAGCCTCCACCAGCCTCTGGTAGGCGGAGTCAGCTCCAGAAACGTGCAACAGCGCCCGCCCGGAAACTCTCCCCGCGGCCCGGGCAGCCTGTCGGGAGGGGCTCCTGACTCCGATCCCAGACATTCTACCATGGCACGAGGCCTTTTTAAGAGATACTCCAGAAAAGGCTACTGCTTTGTGGGGACTGGGAGCTAAACTTGAAACGCGTATCTTGTGTTTGGATTTTGCAAATACTGCCTGGAACCAAACCCTGTCCGCGGGTGCCCTGACCCCGTGGCCGACCCAGCGTGGCCGACCCAGCGTGGCCAGAGCCACGGCCCGGGCTGGTTTCTGTCCATCTCCAGGCATTTCTAGAAACGAACTCATGTGAAAGCTCCAAAAACGCTAGAAGAAGAAATCTTTGGGGGCAAATTAAGGTTCAGTCACGAAGTTTATGCGTTGCCGTGATGTCTGTATTTGATCCGAAATACCCGTTAAAGAAAGAAAAAACGACCAAGTACAGATTCACCGGAGGAAAACACTGAGGAAAAACAAATTTAATATCCAACATGCAAATCAACTTTGAACAGAAATGCAAAAACATTAACAGCTCACAGCCGGCCAAATGCTGCCCAGAGATGGTTTCTGTACGCGGAAGATGGGGAACGGGGGCTGCTCGTTTATGGAAATACCACTGACCACGAGATCCTAACATGTTTGATTACACCTTTCTGGTGCTTTTGCCAAAATACATTTTGTAGAAATCATTTTAGTTAAGCCTCAAAGTCGTGAAAAATTGCAGGTTTTGATTCTTCTCACAGGGAGAGAGTTTGCTTGGGGACCGTGAGTGCGCGCTGTGAACACCTAACCCGCCCGGCCTTCGAGAAAGACAGAATGCCCCCAGCCGCTCGGCCGTGACCTCGGGTCTCCTGAGCTCCGGGCCGCGAAAAATCAAGGTGCCTGCTTGTCTTGGGGATGGTAGAAAAACTGTAAACACAAACTCTCCCCGCTGTGGGGATCTGAACCCACGGCCGGCCGGGCCGCTTGGTGTCCGGGTGACTTGGCTTCTGTGGGCGAGTGTCCTAGTTCTCCAGACTATTCTGAGACAGGCTCAGAGAAAGGGTCGGAGGATTTCTCCTCCCACCGAGGACCATGTCCACGCCACATCAGCCAGTGGAAAGGAACAGAGGAGAGCAGCCTTGTGTGCTCCACCCCCCAAGCCGCCTCGAGGGCTCAACCCCCCCAGAGGCCGCGTGGCACCCTGGCCATGGGACCCTGGAGGGCCTCCCGCTTCCGCTCCTGCTCAGGGGGCCTGGTGGCAGCCGGCACGGGCTTGCTGCCCTCCCAGAGCCTGATGTGTTTTAAGAGAAACCTGCTTTCTGATCCAAAGGTGAGAAGAAGCCCGAACAGGGAAAATCCCCATCACGCCAACAGACGCTCAATGTTCGAGACCAGACAGGAAACTCGGTTCTAGCGCAGTCACTTGCCAGAGACCTCTTGAGACTCACGGCAACGCTGGCAGCTCTTTCACACGTGACATCTTTGAAGGTTCTCGGCCAACGACTTCGAGCCTCCCTGTTGGGACAGCATCAGATGTGTTCTTCAAGTCAAGTCACTAGAATTTGCCAACCGCACGGGGCCGGCCTTCGGGAATGGCTTCTGATGGGGAAAACACAAGTTTTTACTTCACTTTTCGAGTCTGCTGTCCAGATGGTCTGTGATTCCAACAGCAGCAGTTCCCGGTTTCGTTCTAGCTGGATTCTTGGAAGAGCAGTCCCACCGGGCTGGCGTCGCGTCGCGAGCTGCCAGGGCTCCGCGGAGGACAGAAACCTGACCGGCTCACGTGTGCACCGTCCTTGAAGAGTCCACGTTCCCGGGACCGGGACTCGTCGGAAAATCTAGCCATCCGCAAGGCGACTGGGCTCTGGAAGATTTTGTTCTCTCTGGACGACTTCCCTGTCGCTTACATTTTAAAGATTTTTCTGAGACGCTGAGCCTTGGCTACTTCTACAAGCAACTGGAAGCTCCCGGAAGACATCGGCGTGTGAGACCGAATGCCCCCTCGGCCTGCGGGCGCTGGAAGGTGGACGAGAGGCCACAGGCCGCCCATCAGATGCCAGGACCGTGACATTTCTTATAAAAGGAGAGCTTGCTCTCTTATTCATGTCCTAAAAAGTGACACCGCGGTGCCTTCACAGAATAACCACACTTTGATTCCAGTTCCCACTGAAGAAATGTGCGCGTGCTTTGGTCATCCCCGCGTTACACAAGAGACAGGCGTGTTTCCAGAAACATGAAAGATGGCCTTATGAGAAGTGACAGCCAGACAGGCCAGGACACTGGGGGGCTGGGCTTGGCCCCATTACTTGTTATGTATTACGCTGTCACTGATGTCCTTTGTCACTTTGAAAAGAACCTCAGGGTGACAGCTTACTGCCTAGTGACCAAGTGCCTCTCAAAAAAGCGTGATTAAAATTCAGTTTCAGACGTAACCTCCAGAAGAGGGAAAGGGCGGAGGGCAGACGCGGCCACACGCACGCACCCATCTGTCGCAGCGCAGCGGTGTAGCGGACGCCTGGGTGGGCCGCTGGCCGGGCCTGAGGCTGGGGATGACAACCGAGCCTGTGTGTGTGAGCGCTGCCCCGGTGTGGGAGGGAAACAGCTAAGCCGCCGTGTACGCCGCTGGCACGTCACAAACGAGGGGTCATCTCTGGAACGCCACTGTGGCGCCCGTCTCTACGACCAGCAAAGCCTTGCGCGCATGACTGCAAATGGCCCTCGGGTGACCTGTGATGTGCGTCTGTCACTTTACAGAGGGGGCGTCGGACGTGCCCGCGGCCCCGCCAGCAGCGGGTGGCTGACCCTCAGGGTTGGGTTCCAGTGGGGGGACCCTGAGAGCAGAGGGAGGGCCGCCGTCCTCCCGCATCTGTTCCACTACCTCATCCTTCCGTGGAAGATACACCGGGGCCGTATTTCCCCCAACACCTGAGTTCCAGAGTCTTCAGACCCCGGACGACCAGGGAGAGAGAATTCCTGAAGCTGTATCTTAGCCTCCCTGGACACAAACGTGGCGACAGCATTTGGCTCCCCTGGAGAACACTTCTGGAACTGGGGGCCGTGCTCAGGGATCGGAGGCTCTGCCCCAGCACTTGGCGGCAAGGCCCGACTCTGTGCTGTCCTGAAACACTGCTCTGGAACGTGAAATTGTGCAGACAGCTGGGATTCGGCTAAGCGGGGGCTGGACACTGCCACAGAAGACGAGAATGTTCCAGCCCAGCCCCACCACACAGAGGATGGGCGGGGGAAGCGTCCGAGAGTCTGCCCGGACCCGAGCTCTGCAAGAAGGCTGCCTGACCCAGTCCTGCACCAGAACCCTGGACGCTTCATGAGGTAGGTGGTATCAGCCCCATTTTACAGGTGGGCCAACTGAGGCAGAATGAAATGCAACAGCTTGCTTTAATAACAGCATATAAAATCTAGAGAAAGCCCCAAGGTAGCCCCTGTTCCCAGAGCCCAGCGCAAACCCTTGGAGCGCGCAGAATAGAAGGGATGGGAGAAGGAGCCCCTCCAATCCCTCCTCTCCTTGCAGAGAGGGTCTCCGTGCACAACAGCAAACCCTCCGATATTCCTGGGGACTCCAAACAAAACAACATCGCAACAGAGACCCAGCTGACAGTTTATTCCCAGTGGGGCAGGGGGACGCTTCTGCTCGAGAGGGCTCATGGTTTTGAGAGCACAACGTGTCATCCATCACAGGTGGGAATCCCTCCAGCCCCAACAAGGCCGCTCGCACAAACCCACTGGACCAGCCGCCTGGAGGTCAACTCTTCTTTGCCTCAGTGAGCTGGTCTGAGAAACGGGACCAGCGCACTCCGTCAAAGAAAGCTCCAGGAAAACACCCTATCCCCTCCCCAGCCCCCCGAGGATGGACGTTCTACCTAGAACCTTCCTGGGAGGAGGCCAACACCCACCCCCAACACTCCTCTCCTGTCTGACTACCAGGCTGTCCCACCTGCTCTCAGAGTCCAAATTCTGTGGGTCACGCCAGCCGAGGCGCAGAGCGGGATGTCTCCAAGGCGGAGGTGTGTGTGTTGGTGGTGCTCTTTGGCTGGAAGCAAAGGCCATTCTGGCAGGATCGGGGCCTTTCTGGAACCGGGCGTGGGGTGAGGTATTCCCAGCCCAGGGCAAAACCCTCAGACGCCCCATCTCCCCGAGGCAACCCATGTGTAACCAAGCAGTAAACAAGGGAGGGCGGACAAGTCGGGCCTAACTCGGATGCGGAAGTTCATGGGTACAGCAGGACGGAACCGTGAGCCAGTTCTCGGGGAGGCGCGGACACTCGGGGGCCCCCAGCTGGGCGGCCTGTCCACCTGCGGTCTGCGCGCAGACGTCGGGTCGGTCGGTCCGGACACGCTCCAGCCGCCGGCGCTCCTCTGCTCTCTCACAGCCTCTTGGCATCTCTGGGCCTCTCGGGGTGCAGAGGGCGCTGCAGAGATGGGCCGGGGCTGGAGGGGGGTGGGCGGGCGGGCACGGGGGTGCAGGAGCCGAGCCGGCGGGGGGAGAAAGAGGCACTTCAGTTTGGGCTGGTGTTCGTGGAGTCGGCCCTGGCCCCAGGAGGCGAGCGGCCCCGCCTGGCTCCGGCTCCGGCGCTGGGCTGTCACAGAAGACCCCGGTGGCGGTGGACAGGTAGGCACTTGGCGGCACCCCTAGGGCCGGGCAGGGCTGGGGGGCTCTGCGCAGGCTCTGCACATGGCTAGGTCATCAGGATGGGCTTCTGCCGAACTTCCAGGATGTCTATGACGGCGGGGGGCGGGCGGACAAGACAAGGAAGTGTGGGTCCCGGTCAGTGAGGCCCCCAGAGCTCCGCCTCACCTCCCCCCAAGCCAGCCACACCACCCCCGCCCTGGGGCTCTGCAGCCACTCAATGGGGGACGGGAGGGACCCGACGCAGACACTCACTGGCGGGTCCCAGACATGAAACGGGGGGTCAGGGTTACCGACGCCCCCCCGCCCCCCGCCCCAGAGAGCGATGGTTTTCTGCTGCAGCCCACGCTACCTGTTAAAATCCGATGTAGTGGCAAAGTGACGTAGGTCAAATGTGCATAGAGAAGGAAATTGCCGTCCGCTCTGTTCAGCTTCAGCCAGGACCCGACCAGGGACCGCCCCGTGCCGGACAGGGACCGAGACCGGAGGTTGGTGGCATTATGCAGATCAGCTAGTGGGGAGAGGGCCGTGTCAGGGCCCGGGCCACAGGCCCCCCTCGCAGGACCAGGAGAGCACCTCCCACCCCAGGAACCAGCTCTGCCGCAGCCTGGGCCCTGTGCCACCAGCCCCTCCATGGCCCACACCTGCCCCAGAGCTGCAGCCCTAGTCTGGGACCCCTGACTCCCCCATCCCTATCCAGCCCTCCCCTCCCCTCCCCTCCCCTGCCCTGGAGAGGCTCTCCTGTGGGTTCTGGCTTGTCGCCTCATGGCGTCATTTCTCTGCTTCCCTGTGACCCCGTCCGTCACTGCAACACGGCACCACCAGTCTGCAGTGCCCGGGGCAAGGCTGGGAGGAGCCATCTTCTGGGTCACCCAGGGAGGCAGGCCAGGTGGTTATCAGCTCTTCCCTCCTCATTGGGAAAGGAGCCGAGGTGGGGACAGCACAGGCCCAAGTGCACCCTAGAGCAGGTCAAGGCCAGGGCCGTCTGTCTCTGGGCCCCAGTGCTCCAAATAAGGACCAGTGTCTCTTCCGTTCAAGGTCACAGCCCCAGCTCTGGCCAGGGGCCGCCCTGTGCCGTCAGCCACCCCCCCAGCGCCCAGCACACACACGGGGCACCACACCTTGTCTCTGGCGGCAGCCTGCCCTCCTACAGTCCTTCTCCACAGGGACGGCTGAGCAGTATTTCAGTAGCGAATCTGATCCTGTCACTCCCCTGCTTAAACCCTCTAGTGGCTTCCTGCTGCTTAGATGAGGGTTAGCCCCACTCTCACTGGCTCGTGGGTTGCAGGGACCCCCACGGGCTTCAGGCAAAGATGCTCTGGAGGCCACCAGAGGGTGGGGTGAGCCCGGAGGAGAGCCTGGGGGATGCCCCGAGGCACATTCTGGAGGGAGGGAGGGCACTGAGGAGGACCCAAAGCAGGAGGCTGATGGCACAAAGGCAGGAATGAGCCCGAGAGCTCATCTCACTAGGCACCGGCTTCTAGAACCCTCTGTGTGGAGCAGTCAATCAACATCGGGGAAAGTCTCAAGCCTCCTGTCCCGCCCCCTATTCTGACCCCAGATTGGGAGCTCCTTGAGGCAGGGATTTCTGTCTGTCTATCTGCAGCTCCATCCCCAGCCCTGAGAGGCCCCTGGCACCCACCAGCCCCAAGACATGAATGCACGGGTGAACCCAGAGGGCCCGGGAGGGCCGCAGCAGGCCCTTGGTCGTAAGCAAGGCGCTCACCCCCGCCATTGTCCTCGCGGAAGAACTCCTCGCTGTCGTTGGCCGAGTGAGACTTCTTCATCTCCGCGATCCGGTTCCGGGGCACCTTCCTCTTGAGGGACGGGGAGAAGAAAGCGGGCCGGTTGTTCCGCTCTGGGGTAGGGGGCGTGCTGAAGGAGGTCACCTGGAGACAAAGAGCCATAGTCACTGGTGCAGCCCGACCACCGCTGGGGCCCCTGACACCACCTGCCGGCGGGCCAGCCTCCCTAGGCTGAGCACGAGCCGGGTGCCCTCCGCCAGCCCCGAACGCTGGCCGCCCAAAGCCAGACCAGCTGCTGATCCCGCGCAAGCCTCCCACGGAAGCCTCCCACGGAAGCCTCCCCGCTGATCCGCCAGACAGGAATCGGCAGGAAGCTCCTCGGAGGAATGAGGAAACGAAGGTGGGACAGCGACCTTGACCTGCCCAAGGTCACCCAGCAGGACAGGGGCAAAACCAGGATTCAGCCCAGGTCTTCTGCCTCCTAAGGCCATACTCTTTACCCCAATTCCTTTCCCTTGGCTAAGATGCCCCCCACCCCATCCCTCTCAGCCCCAGCACCCTCTCATGGAGGGCAATGGCAAAGCGGCCCAGGCTTCCATCCCCTGGTCTTGTAACCACACTGTTGAGCAAACGTTTTGTGGAGCCGCGCAGGGTCAGGCGGGGGCAGCACAGGAGACAGAGAGGCACACAACACTGCTCCCTGCCCTCAAGGAGCTCACAGTCTGGTGAGGGGTGACAGACTCGGAAAGTGACAACCACAAACTGAAGGCTGCTTGCTGAGACAAAGAAAGGGAAGCACAGGATACAGGGGAGCACCGAGCAAAAGGGGTCCACAGCCTGGGAAATCAGGAAAGGCTTCCTGGAGGAGACGCTGCTCGAGATGGGTCTTGAAGGACGAGTAGGAGTTCGCCAGGTGAAGAAGGGGGGGAAGGGCGTTCCAGGCAGAGGGAACTTGGCCCATCTCCTCCCTCCTCCCCATGCAAACAAGAATCTGAGGAACAAGGTGAGCTGGGACTGAGACTTCAGGAAGCCCCATCAGCCTCCTCGTCACGGCTTCCGACATCCACCAAAGTCCCGGCGGCCGCTGGGCTCCAGATGGTCCTCCCATAAGCCAGGGAAGGTTTTCCAAAGATAGAAAAAAAACAAAACACCAGAAACCACAATACACACAGAGTCTGCATTTGTCATGAGCTGGTTACAAAGGGCCCCTCTGGAAAAGGGGGACACACGACAGTAAGCACAAAGGTGGTGGGGGCCTAAGCAGCCTCCAGGAGGTCAGACCCTGCCACTCGCAGCTGCGTGACCCTGGCAGGTCCCCTCCCTTGACCCTGGGCCTCCCTGTTCCCCTGAGCCAGGCGCCATGGCCTTCAGCCCCAACTGCCACCCTGGGAGGGAGCGAGTATCACTTCCATTTGGTGTGTGGGAAGAGCCAGGCTCAGCAGGTGTGGTACCGTATCTGTGGTTGTTCAGCAAACGTGTGGCTGGAAGTAGCACCCAGGCCGACCCAGCCCAGAGCTCAGGCCACAGGATTTCTACATTCTGCAGGGCCTTGGTGGGCAACTTAGGACCAGGGAGTAGAATCAGACTCCATTTCTCCCAAATCAGCTCAGAAATGTATCAACAACCTCCACTCGCAAGATGAGGGAGGTGGCCTGCCCGGAACCCTCACCCACGTCTTTGCGGAAACTAGCCCGGGTTGTTTTTATTCGGCTTTCCGATTACAGTCATTGCAGAAGAAAAAAACCAAGAAAGGACATAAAGAAGACGAAGAAACGTGCTGTGGGACTACCTGGAGATGGGCACGGCTAACAGTTTTACAGAACGGAAAGTCTAGCAAACACACGCTTGCTCGTCCTGGGCAGTCAGCAGGGCAGCGCACGTCACGCCCTCCGTCACTTCCCCCAGCGGGTCAACAGCCAAGGGGAGCCAGTGGCTAGGGAAGCACCCCAGGGTCCCGCCCGCGTCAGCTGCTGACTGTGTTACAGCTCCCCGAGCCTCCCAACACCAGTGCTCCCCGTTTCTGGATGAGAAAACAGGCCGAGACCTGCCCCAGGTCACTGGGGCGGCAGCGCCCAGACTCCAGCCCACACAGTTTCACCCCGAAGTCCCTTCCTGTAGACGGGCTGGCCAAGGCTGCTCCCCAGACAGACCCCCCACCCGCCCACCTGTCCCTTCGGAGACCTACGGCTCTGAGCAGGCTAGAGCAGCCAAGGGGCTCGAGACTTTCTCCTGCCCTAGCCCTGACCCCACTGGGGTCCCGGGGAACAAAGCTGCCACTGACCTCGGCTTCCCACCCCTGGGGAAGGACGGTGTCCTAGAAAGAGTAGGACTCAAGGGCTCGGTGCTATCACACAAGAGCCGTGGGACCTAGGTTGGCACTAGTCCATCCGGCAAGCCCGAGTCTCCATGTCTACCCACGGGGCTGCTGCGGGGACCCCCAGCACTCGAAGGTGCACGACACCTCGTGAACAGGGGGCCGGGCAGAGGGAAGAGCTGGGCAGCTCCGGACCCCCGAGCCTCAAGGGGCAGGAGCGGGGGCTGGCTCATCAGCACCCCAGGGCACTCCCCGGGGCAGGCCAGTTGTGGGTGCGCGCCCGGCCAGCAGGGCCCGGTGAGGCAGGGGCCGGGACCAGCCTGGGGGTCCCTTCAGCTGGGCCCAGCTGCAGCAGCAGCTCAGGGAAGCAGAGACCACGCCCTGACCTGCTGGGTGACCTTGGGCAAGCCACTGCCCTCTCTGCCTCTCGGCCTGCTCCCCAGAGGACGGGGTGATGACACCTACCTCACCGGGGGACTTTAAAGATCAGGGAGGCGTTGGGAAGTGGATCCGCAGGACGGAAGGCCCCTCCCCGAGCTGTGCAGCCCTTACCCGCTCGTGCATGGGTGAGGCCGGGCTGGAATCCTCTTCAGTCCCACAGGGGGACGTGTCCCCAGTAGACACGCGGCTGACGGCCATCTCCGCATGGCCCTTGCCCTGTGGCCCCTTCATGCGCACGAACTCCATGTTGCTGTACTTGTAGAAGCCGAACGACATCTTCTGTGCCATCCGGGCGGCCACGCTCACCTGCAGACATGGGGAGACGGCCCGAGTCAGCGCCCATGGGGTGGCTTCTTCCTGGGGACACGGAGTCATGAGGGTGACCATCCCCCAAAGAGCGGCCCCTGAGGGCTACCCGCTTTCCTCTGGGGGACGGGGGCCCCCCAGCAGGCAGGGTAGTGCAGGAATGCTTGGGGGTCGGGCAGATGCTCCTCCCACCACCCGACGACCCACGCCTCGCAGCAGGCCAAGCACCAGGCTGGGCACACAGCCAACCCTGGGGGAGCCCGAGACCACCCCCACGCCTTCCCTGGGGGGACCAGCTGCAGGGGAGAGGCCCGTCCACCTGCATTCCACCCCTGCCCCACCAGCCAGGTTCTGTTTCGGGAGTGTTTGCACGCAGGGTGGGGCCACTGTCCCTCTGGTCCAGTGTGCCCAGACGTCTGAGGAGCGACACACCAGAACGCAGGCCCTGAGCCACCTACGAGGGGCCCGGGGGCCGTAGGTGCTCTGAGGAGCGGGGCAAGGACAGAGGGCCCAACGGGGACGGGGGTGGGGGGCGTCCTCACACTTACTCGGTTGTCGTACACCTTCTTGAGGGCTTCGTAGCGGATGGAGCCCTGAAAGATGACCCCTTGGAACAGGTTGGTTTTGTCACTGGCCACCAGCTCCACGCAAACCATCTCTCCCTCCCCCACGGTCATGTCGCTGAACACCTGAGACGGGGCACAAGGAAGACAGCTGCCCACCACGGAGCCCGTGGCCTGGGTCCTGGCTCCACCTCCTGTCGCCCGCCCGCCCGCCCGCTGGCATCATGGCTCCAGGGCCTGGGGCATGGACCCAACTTCAAGGTCACACGGACTCCGGTTCAAATCTTGGCTCTGCCACAAACAGGCCGTGCCAGCCTGGGGACGGCACTTAGTCCCCCAAGCCTGAGGGGCCTCAAGGCAGCAGCCCATCGAGGAAAGACCCTGAAACACGGGCTCCCTTCTTCCTGAGTCTTCCCTGGGGTCCTGACCGCCCGTAGGGGAGTACAGGCACCACTATGGGGACCTTGGTGGCGGCAGAGAGCAGCAGAGCAGAAGCTGGGCAGGGGCAGGGCACCGGGTGTGGCCCGGGTGAGTCACTTTCTGCCGTGAGTCCTAGTTTTCCAGCCTGAACACAGAAGCTTGGCCCAGAAGCTCCCACAGCCCTGCCCCCTCTGACAGCCTAGCATTCCGCAGTGGAGGCACTGGTTTGGGGTGTCCTGGCCGTCCTAATGACGCCTCCTGCCCAGACAGCCCTTTTTATAGGTGTTTATGACGCATTCTCCCATTCACGAGCTCGTGTGATCTTTGACCCCAATGGACGCGTGATCGTGACACTTATTTTACAGATGAGAAAACAGGCTCAGAGGGAGGTGAGCCCCACCAGCCCCAGTCCAGCATCAGGAACAGCCGGAGCCAAAGGGGTAGGAGTCAGGATCACCCCCGCTGCCCACCACCTTTGCCGGGCTGCAGGGCTGTGAGGCGGGAGGGAGGCCGGCTTCTCGCAGCCCTAACCAGGGCCCTTGGGGACACGTGGCTGGGCACGAGGAGCTCACCTCCTCGAAGCTGTCGATCATGAAGAAGATGTTGGGGTAGCTGATCTTGGATTCCTCCCCCTTGCTGTCCATGGGGTGTTTACTGGGGGACGCAAACACTTGCTGAAAGGGAGGGGTTTTAAAGGACTGATGAGGCCTTGCCTTGCACCCAGGTCCACAGCCACTCAAGGGACAAGTCCCGGTGGTCACATGGCTCAGACCCAGGCCAAAGCCAGAGGGAACAGCTTTGCAAGAAGCCTGATGGACGGGTTTTTGGTCAGACCTGCCCCTCCAGGCAGGGAAGGGAGGAGGAGGAGGAGGAGACAGAGGAGCAAGAGGAGGGAGGGGAAGGGGTTGTCTCCCCCACCCAAATGCTAAGCAGCCACAAGGCTGCCATTTCTGGGCTGAGCTGCCAGTTAGGAGGCCTGGGGCTTACCTGGGATTTCTTCTTATGGATGTGGATGTCCCCCCCATCAGCCCGCGTGCACACGGCACAGGTGACCATGTAGTCCAGCTGGAAGAGAGCACGCAGGACACCGCGCGTGGAGGGGTCTGCTCTCCCTCAGCCCCCCACAGCCCTCCTCCCGGAGCCCCGCCCCACCATGCTGTGCCCCTGGAGACCCTCCCCCACCAGACAGCCCTCCTCCCAGAGCCCGGCCCCCACCGCGCCGTGTACCTTCTGCAGGATGAGGTTCAGGCAAACACTCTCCTCCCAGTCAATGTCAGGGTCTCCAAGGCCCGGTAGCTTCTTGGAGTCGCGCCGGTACACCTCCACCTCCACCTCGGGCTCCGCCTCGGCCCTCTGAGGGGCGCAGGGCACAGATGAGTCCCGGCCCCCTCTCCCTGACTACTGCCGGGACAGCCGCTAAGGCAGACACGGACTCCTGCCTGGCTTCTCGGTCTCCGGCTGTGCGACCCCAAGTTCATTGAGAAGGAGCCTCCGAGGTGGTCCCTAGAGCCCTGCAGCTCGGCGTGGGGATCCCAGCCGCCTGTCCCACCCACACTGCTTCTGTTCGATCTGCCTGGAGGCGACCGTCCACCCATCTGCCCACCACCACCGCCCTGGGCCTAGCGCAGGAAGCCCGCAGGTTGCTATGGCAACCGGGTACCAGCTCTGCGGCAGGCTGGGGAGGGGGCGGGAGGCAGCCCTGGCTTGCCGCAGAGAGGCCACAGTGCGCAGGCGCCTGCCCTGGGCTCTCCTGGCTCTGTTCTTTTGAGTGGTGGGGGCAGAGAGGCTGCCGGAACGGCTTGTCCAGTCTCCCGTTTGTCCTTCCCTGCCCACCCTGCACTCTTTGGGCCTGCAGGGTCTCCCCACATCACCGCCCAAGCCCTGCCCTCCAACACTACAGACACCACAGGGTCCCCTCGGGTAGGTGCCCAGTCGCGTGTGTGCCTGGCATGCCCCCACCAGCACCCCATGGGCTGGTCCCTCCAGTGGGAATGTCCTTAGGCCACCGTGGACCCCTTTCTCTGTCCTACAACACTGAGGCCCGATGCCACAGCCTTCTCTGTGTAGGCTCCCGGCTGTTCCCACCCCCACCCCGTCCTCCCACTACCACAGCACTGAGTGCTCTGTGATCACGGGTGATGCTGTCTGTCTGCCCCAGGAGACGCGGGCTCCCCGAGCACAGGGCCAGGTCTGAGTCATTCCTGGGCTCCCAGTGCTGCGGGGAGGGGCAGCTGCCTACCGCTCACTGCGGTGTTTGATGGAACATTCTAGCATGTCAACAGCTGGACTGCCACATGTTCCCCTGACGGACCTCAACACCCCCAAACCTTCCAGGAAGCCTGCACACAGTCCGGCGACCCCCGCCCCAAACTGCGCAGTTAGGATCAGGGGAACTCCTCTTGCTACCTCTTCACCTGGTCTCTCCCTTCTCCTGCCTGCCTCCTGGAGAACTCAAGGCTGAGAAAACCATCCCTAACCAGAGCTGAGGCCTCTCCCCACACCAAAATTCAGGGTCTGGCTGAGTCTCTGATCCTTATTAGAGCCTCTGGTCTTAGCAGGCTGCCTTTGGGAAAAGATGAAGATTTTGCCAAAAATACGAAAACCAAACCCCCTGCTCCCCGCAAAACCCAAACAAAACCCAACGTCTACAACGTGACGCCCAGCAGATGCTGAAGGGCCAAGGATGCGGGCTGTACCCTCGCTGCGTGCCCTCGGGCAGAACGGTCCCCGTTCCAGTTCTGCAGGTGAGCCCTGGCACTAGGAGCCTGCGTACTGGGCTGAGCTGAGGGAGGACAGCACGCCCACGGTGGGTGTCCCTAGCAGTGAGGCTCCCTAGGGGCTCGCCACCCTCTGCCAGGAGACTCCTATGGTCACACTACCCCACACACCTGGCCTCCCAGGTGTGCGCAATGGAAGGACCTTAACCTCACCAAGCAACTGCCCAGCCCCCATACCAGGCCAGGCTGAGTGGCAAGTCCGGGGAGACAAAGCTGGAAAAGCTGGTCTGTCCACTACACCCCCAGACAGAGCAGGCACAGCGAGCAGGGACGGCGGAGCTCTGGGCCAGGCTCCGGGGGTGCTCAGCTCATGGAACTCTCCACCAACACCTAGCCCTGCCAAGTCCCACCCACTGGGGCCTTCTCTTCCTCCCTTCCAGAGGGCAGCCCCTGCCCACCACCGAGGCTGCTCTGCCCACGCCTCCCCAGCCTCTGGTCACAGGTCCATCGGCCTGTCCCCCTTCTCGTCCTGCCAGACTTGGCTCCTCGGGTCCCGCCTCCCTGCTGGTCACGCCCCCTCCTCCCGGCAACCCCATCTGGCCTGCCACTTGGTCTCCTGCTAGTCCCTCCAGTGTCAGGCTAGCTCAGAGCTCTGTCCTAGGCCTCTGTGACTGTCCCGCCTCCAAGTCTCCCTCCTCTTCCCACACATTCCCATGGCACCAGGTACCATCTTGGAGCCATCAGTGCTGGAGCCCTGCCTCTGTCCCTGAGTCTCTGCTGAGTTTCAGACAGGAGACCCACCGCCAGAAGACACCGCCATCTGGCTAGCTCACAGGCGCCTAGGACTCAGCCTGTCCAACACCGAACCCTGTCCTCCTCTGACAGCACTGGACCTACCCTGAGCCCAGGGCAGAGACCCGGCTGTCAGGTGGGGCCTTCCCTCAGGCCCCCATTCAGTCACCTGGAGCCCTGCTGGTGAGGCCTATGCCCTTGGCCTTCGTGCCGCCCGCCTACCACTCCCTTGCTCCCCACCCCCTCTCCCTTGCTTCTGCTCCAACCTCTCAGTCCTTCCTCCACCTGCCGCCCAAGAGCTCGCTAAATGGAATTCTGACCACGTCCCGCCTTCCTCACTTTCTCAGAGCTCTAGGGACCGACCCAGACTCCGAGGCATGTGGACTTCAGCGTCCACATGATCTGGCCCGTGCCCACCCGTCTCTGCTCCCACCTTTCTACAGGGGGCTACGTGGTACCAGCACTGGCCACCCGAACGAAGGGGCTTTGACAAGCTTCAGGCCCACGACTGGGGCTACTGTCCCTTCGCCTAGGAAAGCTCTTTCCTTCCTGAAGGCTCACCTCACCCATGTGGCCTCTGCTGACCATTTCTGTCCCTTCCAGTCACTGGGCTTACCCTTCGGTACTGGCTCTATGACGTGCTCCTGGGTCCCAGGGACAAGGCCCGGCCCCGCAGCCGGCGGCCGGCACACCACACGAACACCCCAGGACCCAGGCCAACCCTGGGCCTTCCTGCATGTCCCACAGGCCAGCCAGACCAGCTCTCTGACGGCCGGCACGCAAGCTACCATGTCTCCTCTGCGGAAGGCACCAGGCCTGTCCACATGCAGAACTCCCAGGCCCTGTGTGTCAAGCTCCACAAACAGGGACAAGCAGGGACAAGCTCCAACACCTGACACATGGGCTGCAGCTCCCAAGCCACAGCCCAGGGATCAGAGGGCTCTGGACTTGGAGCCACGGTGGCTCTGAGTTCCAGACCAGCCTCCCTCGCCCTCCCGTTTTTGTGATTAAAGGAAAACAGTGCATTCCCCTGTTTGACATAAGGTGCTTACACATTCTAGAAGTTAGTAGCGTTTCTGAAAAACAGAAGAGAACACATGAAGGCTGTTTTATTCATTCCTCCACATGCTTAAATGTGGTAGACGAAACGGCTCAGCCGAGCCCCTTTGCCCCGAGGCCCTGGGCTCCCCACCTGCCTCGCTGAGTTGCAGGGAGGACGTAAGAGCTTCGAGAAGGAAAGAGCCGAGCACGGCATCTGCTGCATGGCGAGGGCTCAGAACCGCCAGGCCTCCTCCTCATCTTCGAGGCCGCTCAGCCTGCCCCTGGCCAGGGAGGACCCTAGACTCTGGGTTCAAATCTTTGCTCTCCTGTTGATTGACTTAATAGTATGCTGGTCAAACCACCTTGCCTCTAAACCTGTCCCCTCAAAGGGACAACAGTGATGTCATCACTGCCTCTCAGGGTCCTGGTGAAGGGCGGCGGGAACAGCTACGCCCCGCCCCCTCTTCACACAGCTCCTGGCTCCCAGTACGTGCTCAGTCAACTGCGTTTCCCCCTTAGGACCTGCTCGAGGTCTGCAGGGAAGCACACCCGGGCGGCTTCGGGCAGACCCCGCAAGGATGATTGGCTGGGGCCGGAGGGGGCCGCTCACCTTCCTCCCGTCCACGCTGCCCTCACTGCCTGGGTACGCCAGCTTCCGGCGCACGTAGAAAAGCATGTCGTCCTGCCGTGGCGCCCATTTCTCCATGAAGTAGGTAGAGAACATCCAAGTCCAGAAGACGATGCGGTCATCCTTGAAGCACCCTGCCGAGGGCAGCAAAGAAGAGTGAGAAAGGACGGGTCAACCTGGCCCTTGCATGTGACCTTGGCCAAGCCCCGTCTTCCCCTCCTCCCCTCCCCCAACCCCCAACCTACATTTCTGGTCTGTGATGTCCAGAGCCCCCTGCTCCCTCACCACCACCCCCTGACTCCCCCGCTCCCAGCCAGGGGACAGGGGCTCAAGGACACCTCCCACCAGGCCCAGGGCCTCCACTCAGCAGAGCCCAAGAGCCCCGGCCCCGGCCCCCTGGCCCCACAGCCCAGCCGACCGCAGCGCATGAATCAGCAGCTTCGTGGGGGAAGGAAAGCCCTTTGAGAGGCGAGAGGCAGCGTCACAGCGTCTGGGCTGGGAGCAGACAGACGGGCTCTGGAGGGAGCTCCAGAGGCTGGCACCACCCTCGGCCAGCAGCCCACACCCCCACCCCAGGCTGCGGCAATTCCCACGGAGAACCCGACTTAAAGGAACAGCTGCCCTGTGCCAACCAGCCTTGGCCCCCCCCACCCCTGCACGCAGCGGAGCCTGTCATCAGCCAGATCTGTGCTCCCGTGATCGTTGTGGAGCCTCTTCTTTTATGACAAATAAACGTTTCTTTAGGATCCCTAAATCTCTGTCCTCATCCTTCTCGCAGGAGGAGAAAAAGCCCTTGCGCTCTGATGGGAAAGACCCAGGTTTGTGCCCTCGCACACCTGCAGAGTGGCGGCGACAGGCTGTTTGGCCTCTCTGGCCCGCAGGTTCCTCCCCGCGAATGTCGGCTGCCAGACACCCGCCAGACAGAGCCCGCGCCTGGCACAGAGCAAGCCCAGGCAGCGCGGGCTTCCTCCCTCTCTGGGCAGGTCCCACGCGGTTTCAGGACATGCGACAGAGCCGTTTCTTATCATCGAAATGCTAGATCGTTGCTGGTTTCTTCCTCTCTTCTCCAGAATGTACTTTACCACTGTGACCCAGTCCTTGTGCTCTGGTCCAACCAGAAGGACCAACCCCCACCCTGAGAGATGGGGAAGCTGAGCGCCCCCCGAGGCAGTTCAGCGGCCCCACCAGGACTGGCAGGTCCCCTGACCAGACTCCTGGGGGCTCAGCCATCAGGCTCTAGAAGGCGGGGTCGCTCGCAGAAACCCCAGGCTGTGCTCACTCCAGCCACATGGTGACCAGAGAACCTAGGCTGCAAACCAGCCCAAGCCCCCTGCCCGGCCGCTGCCCACAGCCTGGGGCCCACCCATTCCCATGACCTGCTTGGGTCCTGGGTGGGGGCAGAAGGGGGTCTTCCGATCAGGGGTCTGGGTCAGTGCACCTGCCTGTTGGCCCCGGGCGGAACTGTGCCTCCCGCCCCCCATCTGTGTTCCTCCTGCGTCACTCCTTAGCGGTTCCCACACACTCTGATGACACGCAACACCCAGTCCCACCACTACAGACCCCCTGCAAAGGAGAGCAAAGGCGCCCTCCCTGTGGGTCCTGGGACGCCCCCGAGAAGCATCTCTGGCTGTGATGAGCAGGGTTCACACCTCAAACCCCTCCGCCTGCCACAGAGACAGAGGGTCGCCACCAGTGTCTGTCCTTGGGGCAAGGCACTGCCTTCTGTGGGTGATCCCTCTCGTGGTGCTAACAGAAGTCACCCCATAGAGGCCCGGTGGTAACTGGGTGCCCGGTCAGCATGGATGAGAAGCACGCCTGCCACCTGTGGGCCTGGGCCATGTGCACCACATAGGCTATCGCCGTCAGCGGTCGCGACGCCTGTCATCACTGCCCTGGCACAGAAAAGACCAGCCCTCAGTAGCTTCAAGGATGTGCTCAAGTTCCCAGTGTTAGAGACTGCTGAGGCCCTCGGACCTGGCCAACCCCACGCTCAGGCTCCGGAAAGATGTTCTGTGCTCCACTCGGCAACTCGGTGAGAGTAAGGGCCGGGAGGCTCCAGACCCACGGCGTGGTGAGCAGCTGTCCTGCCCTGGGAGCGCAGTGCACGGGATGGCCTCCCGGGCTGAGGGATGAGGGGTCCGGCTTCGGGAGGAAGTTCTGGACGGGGCACAACATATGCACCCTGTGCTATTAGCCTCCGCGCCCAGCAGGGGCCAGTAGGGGGTCCCATTTCCCTGCCTGGCAGAGCTAAGCACACCTTCTCCACAGCTCCCCCACCGGGGTCACGACGACAGTCTGCAGGCCCCAGGAGCCTGAACCACACTGATGGCCAGGGCTGACTCCTCATGGGAAATCCCAGCCGCCCTCCCAAGTCCCCCACCCTCTCCGGGCCACACACCAAACAAGATCTCAGAGGGGGCAGCGCCAGGCCCACGCCGTCCTGCCACACAAACGCTCCCACCAAGCTCCCAGCAGCCACACGCCAAGTCCTTCTCCCCACACTCACAGCCACCGGTTCGGGAGCGAGGGCCACCTCCGCGGGGACGTGCACGGCCGCCCCGACAGCCTACCCTCCGCACCACAGCCACAGGACATTTGTTTAAACACCTCTCCCTGCGCCGCACGCAGCCTCCCCATGGCACTCCACATTAAACCCAGAGTTCTCACCCGGCTCCGTCCCCGGTCACCAGCCTCCAGTGCGCGCTGATTTCGGGTGCCCTGTCCCCGCTTCCCTTGGGCTGCCACTCCCCTGCCTTGGGCCCCTGGCCGCGGCAGCCCCTCCCGGCATCCCACTCAGAGCCGTGATGTCGCCTCTTCACAGAACCTCTCCAGGCCCCACACCAGACGTGCCCCCTGCGTTCTCCCTGTCACGTGACCTGGTTTCACGGCTGCCGCAACCTTATCCCCCCTGGTGTTCCCATGTCTGCTGTCTGTCCCCCACAGCGGGAGAGCGTCCCAGGAGTCGGGACTCTGTCTTGGCCACCACCAGACCTCAGAGCCCAGCAAAGTGCCAGGCATGCAGCAGGCACTCCCTAAATGCTGCATAAATGGCTTAGCCCAGCTGCCCAGTTGGGAGGTGGCCCCGCGAGAGCCGTCTCCCGGGAGCCCGGGCCTCCTTCCCTCAGCCACAGGCCCTGACTTACCGAAGATCTCCCGGAGAAGCCTTGGAAGCCGCCCTCGCTGGGCTCTCGGGGCCCGGGGCAACGACTCCACGGTCACACCGTGGGAGCCGCGTGGGGCGGTGGGCCTGCCGCGGGCACTGAGAAGATGAAATGGGAGAGAAGAGGAGAGGGGTCCAGCCTGGGCCGACCGTCACCCCGCTGCCAGGGTGCCTGCAAGTTAGGGGACCCAGAGCCGGGGAGCTCCGAGCGCAACAAGGGGCCTGAAGACTCGCCGTCCACTGGGGGACAGAATCCTGAACGTCACGATTTCAGCACCGGCCTGACGAGCCCCGCGGGAAGACACTCCAACTCCAGCACAGCTTCCTCTAACACGAGGACAAGAAGGCCCATCGTGAGGCGGGGGAGGGGTTCGAGGCAAAGAGCCGCCAGGACAAGGGCCAGAAGGGGGCCGTGGGCATCACCGCGGGGAGCAGGCCCGCAGACCACCTCCACGCCCCGACGCTCGAAGTCAGAAGCAGAAGAGAAGTCTCAGCGGTCAAGAGCCGCCTTCCCGAACATTCCAAACTGCCCTCTAGTCCCAGAGAAGCGTCACTGGAATCAAAGGGAGCGTGAAGCCCGGGACAGGCAAGCCGCGGTTCAGTGACCGGTGTCTGGGACCGAGGAACTCCGACCACAGCGGGTGTTGAAGGGAAATGCCCACAGACCCTAAAAACAGGGAACATACCAAAAAGGAAATGTAACCAGTTAACAAAAATGCGGGAAAACACTAATCTCACGAGAAATCAAAAATTCGCCTGGGTGGCTCAGTGGGCTAAGCCTCTGCCTTCGGCTCAGGTCATGATCCCAGGGTCCTGGGGTCCAGCCCCGCATTGGGCTCTCTGCTCAGCAGGGAGCCTGCTTCTCCCTCTGCCTGCTGCTCCCCCTGCTCATGTGCTCTCTCTCTCTCACTCTCTCTCTCAAATACATGAAACTTTTTTAAAAAAAGCAGAGCAGTGGTTGTCCCCACGCGTTCTGTTTCTCACGCTGATGGCTTCACGGGTACATACAGCCAGCAAACCTCATCCGAGTGGCCACGTGGACGCACTTTGTCTCACGTGAATCACGCTCTGGTAACACTGATAAGAAGTTGTAAGAGGCAAAGCCAGCAAGGGCGCTGCCCGGGGACACTCGTGCGCTGCTGAAGAACGAACACCCCCTCGCCTTTGTGAAAAGCAGATGGACGTTCTCCTACTCCTCCCAACTACTTTATCCAGGGAAATAAAAACACAAAATAACAGCCGTGTGCACAAACCTCTTCCCTACGATTATGCATGAGGGCCAGCAAGGGGAAAAGAAAACAGCATGCTGTGCTGACCCTCGGTCTAGGGGGTGACGCTCCATCTGCTAAGCCAGATCTCCGTCCCTCTCGGAGAAGAGCACAGGTGCACCTGCAGCCACGGGGAACACCAGCAGCACACACCAGAGTGACCGGAGCTATGAACCCGACGGGGAATAGCTTCCCCTTCCTCCTGCTCTGACTCTCAGTATTGCTGAGTCTGAGGATACCTCCTCTTCCCATGAACGTACAACCTCTGATCAGTGTCCACGGGCTGATGAAAGAGGGAGGGAGGGGGACGGAGTGGGGACTCCTGTCTTGAGAGAGATGCTCCCAGTCCAAAGCAAGGGGCGAGACTGGGTGAGAATTCAGGATCCAAGCGGCACAGAGCAGCGACTGGATCTGCAGTCACACACACCTGAGGTCAGGTCCCGAGTCACCCCCGCACTAGCTGGGCAGCCACTCCATGAGACCTCTCTGGATCTCAGTGACCCCATCCGTGAGATGGGTCTAACCTCCCACCCTCCCAGAATCCACGGTGAGGACCAGGTGAGAGGCCGACAGGAACGCCCTTTGTCAAGTCCCATCCACGTGTGGGTTCGTGAGGACGCCCTGTACCACTGCTCTGCTTGTCTCTGTCCACGATGTGGCCTTTCCCCAGGCCTGCCCAGCAAGAGATGCCCTGGGTCACAAGCCC